TTTACTGAGATTTTATTCGATAATGTAAACCTAAGGTATCGTTAATACTGTTGATCTTTTTTCTAAAATGCCACAATTAATTATGGAATAGAAGTCATACTACTAGTACACAATTATCTACAACATTAAAAATAAAATTTCAAATTGTAAATATAGTCACTACTTCTCGAAGGCTACAGAAATTCACTATATAATAATAATTATAAATTGTCCTTAAAACTATTTCATCTTGCTTGATTATATATACCTCTAACTTTGACCTTAAAATTTGATTATTCAACTAGATTTCATACAAAATTTGGCACAAAAATATATTTTAGATACAATAAAAAAAGGTAAATTAATATGAAAAATTCTTTCAAGTGACACTTTTACGTAACTGATAAATATAAAAATATGTAATTTACATCATGAACATGAGCACATACTTTTCTATGTACTCATACTCCCATTTGGTGAAGCTACAGCTTAGTAATTTTTTTCAGGACACATATATATCGTGAAAAAAATACTTTTTTTTAGAGCAATCTCTTTATGAGAGTACACATACTGAGCACTACATATCATGTCATGAGGCTTTGGATACCATGGCGATCCATCGGCACTGAAATTAAATATAACAAATTAATTATACTCGTAGCAACTTGACCACTGTAAAGAACTAATTTCTGTACACACATACAACATTTAATATTAATTTGTTGTTTTTTAGGTTAACTTACTTTTTTCTCTTGACAGCGATTATCCACTTCATTCGTTGTTCTTGTTTCCAACTCACACGAGGAAATCTATAAAAAAATTTATCACTATTTTTGCCATTGTTCTTGCAGCCAACTACACAGCAGGTATCGTGACGCATTTTATTAATTTTTGCTTAAAATACACAAATATGTAAATTTCTTAAGTAAAAAGTGACATTTCGTCCGATAGAGTTTCCGTTTTAGCCACGGTGCGCGCTGCGATCGATTCGTGTTCTCCCACCTCCTACTTCGCGCCCAGCTAATAGTGTTCTATTTGATATCCGTATTGAGGGTGTCATGACAAAATATGTAAGTAATCCAACAGTTTGTGACGGCGGCCATCTCGTATATAAAATTTTGTCATAGTATACGGTATTCTACTACTCAAGCCCTTTTATTTGATATCCGTATTGAGGGAGTCGTGACAAAATATGTAGATAATCCAACATTTTGTGTTGGCGGTCATCTTGTATATAAGATTTTGTCATAATAAACAGTATTCTACTACTCAAGTCCTTTTATTTGATATCCGTCTTGAGGGAGTCGTGAAAAATATGTAGGTAATCCAACATTTTTGGTGGCAGCCATCTTGGATTTGAAATTTGTCATAGTGTTCAGTATTCTACAACTCAAGCCCTCTTATTTGATACCCATATTGATGGAATTGTGATAAAATATGTCATCTTAGATCGATTTTCATCAAACATAGTGAAGAGCACTCCCGACTAATACACCTTTCAAACAAAAAAAAACAAAATCAAAATTGGTTCATCCGCTCAGGAGCTATGATGCCATAGAAAGACACACACACACACACACAGAGACACACAGACACGTCAAACTTATAACCCCGCGTCGTTTTTGCGTCGGGGATTAAAAATATATTGAATTTAGAAAAAGTTGTTTGATATGCGGATCTCCGATAAATTTGAAATCGGTCGAATTGCATCGAGCCATAAGTCTAAGTTAATCTTTATTACGTAAGTAAACTTCTAGTGAAAGTCCCTTCAAAATCGGCCAAGCCGTTTCAGAGATTAGCCAGAACTGACAGACAGACAGATAAAAAATATTATTTTTGTATATGTACCATGTATAAACACAAATGTATGTAATGAAAAGCGGTTATTTTAATATTACAAATATGCACTCCAATTTTTATGTACTATAAGTGTATTTATAAGTGGATTGAGAGAAGAAGTACTTTGCTTTATTTGCATTTCTTAATATAAATATATATTTTAACTTTCTTATACAATTATACCTAGGGGTCTTTCGATCCATGCTGAAAATAACAAATGTGTATTAAAATAATTCAACAAGCTATATAAATTCCATGTAAATCGAACTTCGTGATCAAAGTTGGAAGTCCCACTATACTGCTCTATTAACGCTCGCTCGAACGTATCTAGATCGAAAATGGTGCGAAGTAATGCAACACAGGTACAACGTTGAGGAGCGCTCGCGCGGTACTGAGCTCAGACGACCGCTGCATCGTTTTTTTGTAGTGATTTTGCGTTTACATTTATCGTTTTTATTGAAATAATATTATAAATTTATGCTTTAAAATTATAATATCTTTGTTCCTTATGAAGTAGTCATTAATCTGGCATAAATTTTGTAAAATAAAATTGTTGTAGCTAAGAGAAATTCAAAGTTAACTTCAAGCAATTTTTAATGTTTTTTGGTTTATAATATGTTTTTTTTTTAATATTTAATCACTGCTATTTCAAAAATTCGACGCCACTGTTTACTTTACGACTATATAATAGATATCATTCTATTTCTTTTATTTCGTTTATTAAGAACAGAAGCTAAATACAGGAGCTCAAAAAAATGTCTTTTCGCATATTATGAAAATTTTTCTCTTGTATTTTGGGTTTAATTAAAAAGATGAGCAAAATTTCCAAAAAGTTAGGCCACTTATTTCTATACTAAGACTTATTCTTCACTATTCAACAAGTCAAAATTGATAATTTATTTTTGTTTCCGAGAAAAATCACGCCAAAATGACAGTTGAGATGTAATACGGGTCTTAAATTTAAAATAGAAGTAGTCAGTAGGCTGTATGAGTTTAGAAATTACAGTCTATATCCTGCTTGTCTTTTTTGTTTTTTTATGACAATAATACTGCTTGTCGTATTGGTTGGTATCACTGAGAGTGCTCCTGATGTAAATATTAGATAAATACTAATTTGTTTGTATAATGTAATTATTGTTGTAATGATGATGTTGTTTTCTTGGCCTTATGAACTTATTTTAAATAAGAAAACAGCCAGGTGTTTATTTGCTTGAAAACGTCGAATATTTTGACACTTTTTATAGACAATCGCTTATTGCGCAAAATTTTCGGTATATCAATATAATTTTAACAATATTTATCGAGAAATACCGATATTTTTCCCATTTGCTCATCCCTACTCTTTGAATAGGGTATTTGACACTATCGAAAATAAGTTGCATTTTGTGGTCATCCTGATAGATAATAATCTAATAAAGCTTATTTCTCTGCAGAAAAAACATGTTTAGATTTAGTAAAATAACGTAAATAAAATGCAATCTTTTTAGGAATTTATTCAACGACGAAAACGTCCTGTAATTGGTCGTCGTCACAAACAATCACGATTCTGTTTACTGGCTTGTGGCGTCATCAGCTGTCATGTCAAAGTAGTGTTAAAAGATTAATTAGATAATATACATAAAATATCGATGCCTGTAGGTAGCATGCCTGATGCCTGCGAAGCACGGATAAGCTCGCGATACTAAATTTTACTTAATACTTAATAATAAAGATCGCGAACCGCGGCACTTATCCACTACGCCACCGAGCTACTTATTATCATTTGCCAACTAAATTTTCGTAACAATTTATTTCATTGAATGAAATTTATTTCATTGAATTTGTATTTATACATACAATTTGTAGCTCACTTTTATAAACAAAACCAGAGTAGATACAAATACAAAACATAAAATTTAACTTCAATTCTGTAATAAGATTTGTTTACTTTGTAAATAAATAGTTGATAAATAGGATACGTCGCTTTGAAATATTTACTGGCATGTGACGTCACAAACACCACGTGATCAGCGCCATTATTGCGCGATTTTGACTTTTTAAATTTTAAAAATTATTTTCATCAAAAATAGAATTGATTCTAATTAAATATATTGACAGTGTATTTATAATGTATCAAAGAACCATTTAAAATAGTTTTCAGAAAAACGTTAAATACCCAAAGTCCACCGCCTATTTCCTCTTACTTTATTCGTTTTAAGTTCAAATTACAATTACCTGAATTAATATCAATGTTTACACTGCAGCATATAACGTTTTTTTTTTCACAAAAATAGATACTATTTATCTGTCACGTCTTATCAAATAAGATACCACAACATCCAGACCAATCCAGACCCGAGACAATATAAAAAATACCTTCTTTTTTGTCAAGCTCGTAAAGACTATATCGACAATAGTGATAAATTCCAATAATCTCTATTGGAAATCCCCATCAATGGGGATTTGTGAACTTTTTGTCCACTGATCCCCATTGATGCCTCATAATGGGGATTTGTGGAAAAAAGTTGTTGATAAAGTTCACAAATCCCCATTATCTTAGAATGAAATACAAGAACAAACAAAACAAAAAATAATCATCAGGGGGCCTATTCGCTAACTTATTTTGACAGGTGGCAGTGATTATCACCGAACTTGTCAAGCATACATTGACGTGTCAGTGTTACCAATGTTATTACCAGAACCTCTTATGAAATTTAAATTGATAGATGTCTATTTTAATGACCCAACTGTAATAAGAACTGTAATGCTTTTCACATATCATTATTATTACCGAATATTAATTTTCATATTTTCACGAGCACTATCCATTAAACGAAACAACTTTAATCGCGATGAATTTCCAATGTCACTTCTTTTCACGGTTCATATTTGGCGTAGAAAAACGTTTTCTTCTTCACTAATTATTCATTTTATTGTAGTAGTCGACACGCCAACGAATATTTAAGAATCCTATAATTAAGACTCGTCAATGCTAGTTACCGGTCAATTCATACACTTTAATCTGTTGTTTTGCCTTCCGAAGTACGGAGGAGTTAGAGATAATAAATTAAACATTGCGCCAACAAACTCTTCACATTTGGGACATATTTGAATTCAATTGCAGAAATTTGTATGTATGTAATAATATCATAGTATTTTATATACACTATGGATTCAGGCAATGGAAATAAAACGACATCTTAGTTCTTAAAATATTCTTAAATTATACTTATTCAACACATTTCTTTCATATACTTTTTTCATGTTTGTGTTTCTTAAATTTGTAATTCTTTTCTTAATTTTTTGAACAGAAGAGATCTACCAAGAAATATAAAATTACACCATCAATTATCTCGGGGATAAACTACCTTTACCAACGCGAAAATGCATTTATTTGTATAAATATATGACACCAAATCCGAGGGTAGTCTTCTAATTTTACTTATTTTTCACTAACACTTACTGGCAGTGGTTTGATGTATGTATCTTGTGTAATCGGCTAAGAAACTACTTTAGGAAAAACATACCCTATTCGTGTATTGGTTAGCTCATCAGAACGTGTAGTATGACGACCTATAATTGAGTCATTGTCTTTTTTAATTTAATAGTAACATTAATGTGGAAAAATACAAATTTTATACCTTATTTCTCTCTTCTGTAGTTATTGTATATTAGTATAAGTTCGCTCTACTGGCGTCTTTGCGTCTTAAAACAGATTTCGCATTGATAATTGTGGTCAATCCCATAAGTATTAAACAGAGATACATTTCAGAAATATAATTAAGCCAATGCGGATACAGCGGACATTAATTTATCTGTTAATAATAAAGAAAACAACCAGATAATTTATGCACACAAATCCACATACATTATTTAATGTCTATCTAAGCCTACCACTTAATGTCCATTGCTTTAGGTACACTTTATTATTAAAGATAATACTTCTCGAGTAAAAGGGGCCTAGTAGAGTTTGTTTCTTAAAAAATGCTATCTAAATCACTTACATAGAGATATAATAGTTTTGTATTAATTAATGTCAATAATTCACGGGTTTTAACCCGTCTCGCGATTTTTTGAACACACAGGTGTGCAAACGCTTCAAGTGCGTTTTGTGACTTAATCGCGTGACGGGATAATGTAAATCATAAATTATAATCAAATTTAAACTTAAAACCTTTTATGGCCAGCATATTCATTTCCTTCTAATACATTGCTTATAGGCTTCCTTATGTAACATTCAGGCACTGCAAAATGTACTGCAATAAGCATGTTACTATTGTATAAAATCACTTTTATCTAGCTGGAATGTAGTCAGCAACAGCAACAACTTAATATAGTAAACATATTAACCAAATTGGATAAGGGTATGCATCAATTTATACGAAAATTAAACCTAAACGTACCGATACGAATGTTTATGAACTCACACGAAGTAGTGTCATTTCAAATATTATGACGAAAAACTTGTGAATACAAGTCAGACATAACGTGTATATTGTTTTAAGTTAACTAACATACATTCCATTTACAGTCGCTAGATACTTCACCATAAGCAAATTTTCGAATGCAATTCAATAAAATTAAATAACACAAAACCATCAAGATACACACACAATATTCAAAATAACTTCCGATTCTATATACTTTAAATATTAAAATAATCGTCACGTATTTCAAACGTATATAATGTAACAAGTAGTCAAGAGTGCATATGAAATCGGGGTATTTTTTCTTTTTATTACTACTTACACAAATCGTGTCAAAGAAATGCGCAATACACAGCTAGCTCACCTAAAAACTGTCTCATACTCGTCTAACTATTAATATTTAATTACCTAAATGTAACATCAACAATGATTTTTTTTTATTCACAATCATAGTCCAATAAACCACTAGGGACAGCTGTGTAAACAAAATATTGAAACCGATACAACACCCTAATTAAAATTTACTATCATATATTCACCGTTCGTCAAGTTCATTTAAATCAATATCATTGTAGTATAATCAATCGATTCTACTATTTATCTTATGCTACTCGGAGTGGCGTCTGCAGTGCGACGAGTTTTACCTACCTACCAAAAACTTCTATGTGTACTACTAAACAAGATGTTCTGAACTAAAATTGTGACAGAGTACGACCGCGCATGTGCGCGTTGCCGTCTCTGTTACTAAGGAGTAAGTGAGACGGCAATACAATCGACTATACCAATGAACACAACACCACAATACATAAAAAGGAAAAGAAACTCGACTCCATATAAAAAGACGAATCAGCGCACGCACACATTGAAACGTCGTTTACACGGCCGCCGAGTATTCTCTGAACGGCATAACGCATTGTTACTGCGTCACATACGGACTCAATCTCCTTGTCATACCTCCCGACGATTTCATCAACATAATGTTTTAATTCTTAATCCTAAAACTACACAATACTAATAATCGTGTACATAAATTAAGTAATAATTTTACTTTTTGGGTACCAACCAGGGGCTAATCTTAAGGGTTTAATGGGCTTTAAACGCAAGACCCCGTGGATACAAGGGGCCCTCGGCTCCCAATAAAAACAACAATAATGTAAAGTGAAAGGTAATAGAATCGTGTTAATGTTGCATTTCCAATCGGAAATCCACCTCAAATTCAGTTAACGATGGTAATTCCTAAATAAGAAATTGCATGTTTACATCAGGTACTATTGAAAATAGTTTCTCAACAATATTACAATAATTTACCCAGGGCTTCACAAAATCACAATTTGCCCTGATACCCTAGCGCTCTGTTCAGCTGTAGGTATAAATATAACACGTCTCAGTTGAGGTACTGTATGTTCTATGTATTGTGACAAGACTAGCGAATAATTTTTCTGTACCGGGGATAATTCGTCTAGTAGTATACATATAAGTCTTTGCTACCTACTTAAATGTTAACCGAGGTGTATATGAGATGCGCTGAGTCGACGGGCGCAGCCCGGGGCCACTTAGACTGGGCGGCCGCGGCCACCCCTCTACCGTACTCAGTACGGACTGTAATAAGAGCCGCGCCTGAAACCTCTGCGAACAAGCCATCACATTACTCATAGCCTAAGAGATCGTAACAAAAATGTTTAAGAGCTTTCTAAAGCTTGTATTTCAGTCCGTGAAAGTACTAACGGTAAACATAACTCAGTGCGGAGATCAGATACTGGAAAACCTGGTGGCGGCGGGGTGATGTATAGTTAAAAAATCGTAACATACTTTATATAAAAACTAGGCTAAAATGTTAAACGTAAAACGCGGCGACTTAGCCGATCTCGGAATTTGGGGTGAGAATAATCTCGGAAAAGAGTTTTGTAATGGTTGAAAGTAAATTTATTACTAAATTATTAGTAGTTAGTTAAAAAAATATATATTCAAACTTTAATTTAATGGTACAAATATATTTAAAAATAGCTTAAAAATTGTTCTCGCCTGGGTACCGAGTGAGGTATACCCTTAGTACTTCAACATACTGAAATATCAAGCTTTAGAAAGCTCTTGTACATTTTTGTCACGAGCTTTGCGTTTTCACCGCATCTGCTTTATAAACCCTCGCCGCCTGCCAATCTGAATATCGAAGAGATTGGGACGTGTGCATTAAAAATACATATTTTCTGCATTACAAACTTTATTCCATAATATTTACTGTCTTATAATGCTCTTATTATTTTTATAATCAGGCGGGTTATAAATATGTTCGGTTTAGAAATAATTTGATGAATAATACTCCAATTTAAGCTTATACGAGGTTAAACCGAAAATATATATAACACAACTTACATTTTCTTTAAATCAATAAGTATATAAAATTATGTATATAAATAAATAGTAATAATGACATATAGCCATGCACAGTAGTACTACATTACAACCATGGTGTATCTTATGTAACAAACATATCTACATCTATACAACAGATAATCATACAGAAAAAATATAACTGATACACCTTAAGCATTATGACTGGACAAATTCAGTAAAACTGATGCAAGGAAAACAAAATATTATTACGTAAAGATAATTAAATATCATTCACAAACAAGAAATTTGGCAAACTTTTCTAATATGTAACAACAAGCTACATTTACTTATCGGCAACATGCCACCTTATACCCAATATAGCAAGGTATTATCATCAGCTCATTAAGCCAAATGGTCAACAAAATGTGGCATGCTACATTATGTCAACATACATACACAATGCTATGAGAATATATATTTTTATAATGGTCAAGTTTCATGTGCTATCACTTTTTTATTCTCTGTAACTTTGTATAGGTAAGAGCCAATAGCTTGTATGAGGAAAAATATAGTAAGTTATAATTCCATTTCGAACAACTCTAATGAATGAGACAGTTCTATACTACCAAAAAGGATAGAATAATGGAGAAATTCGGTATTCGTACGTATGTGCAAAGGTGTTTCTGAAAGCATTTTAATATCTATTCTCATCAAGGTATCTTTGAGAACGTCGTCGACAATCTACTACATACATACAAGTAAACATGAAATTGGAGTAAGATCAATTGTCACAAAAACTAACTAGCAGTGTATTCATTAGCAGTGTATTTCAATAGGCAATCAAAAGAAGGAAATAACAGTAGCGAAGAATATTAACATATATATACCGTCTAATTTTAGAACTGTTTTATTAAATTGATAAGATGTGACTACAATATACTGAATACAAGTTTTGTGCACCATAACATAGCAAGGTATTCTACTTGATACAGCCATTGAATAAGTTACTAAATTCATAAAAAGGGCGACATAAATTTTGGAAAAAAATGTAAATAACGATGAATTACAATATTCAAAAAGCATTTAAAATAAAGACATACACATATCCTTAAAATTGCAAAAAAAATGATAATATTTTATACATGAAAGCCTATTGAAAACCAATGAAACGATTGAACTGCTCTTATTAGTATCATAAATTGCCATACACCCAACACAATTAATGGTGATTCTTTAGTGTACTTCAATGTTTTGCTACAAACTAAAATAGACATGTTTCCCATTGTCTGGCAAATAATTTATAGACACAAACCAACATTACATATGCCAAAAGGCGACCAAACAGAAAATACCAAATCAGTGTTTTTTCATTCAATTTAATACAATTGTGTTTTTATACATTCACACTTTTCATCAGGTCTCCCTATAACTATAATGACTGATTTAGTTGGCATTGGATTCAATCAAAATGAACTCAATGTTCAATAATGAATTGTTATTTACAGTTCGTATATTCAATACATTGGCTTGACTGAAAGAGAGCATTTTGAATGCTTTTGATATCAAATTAAAGCCAATGTAGTTACCCCATAGCACTGATGTTCTGCAAACCTGAACATGTATTAGAGGAATCTATGTAATTAAAAATGCCAAGCCCGAGTCAGACTGGCGTTGAGTTGTTCCTGTGTTACAAAACAGGCATCATACTGCTTTGATTTAATCAAAATCGTGTTTTTGGAAAAAGCCTACCTTTAAAAAAAAAATTTATTACAGAAGTCCTATTTTTTGTCCCAATGTCACTTTACTACCATTGTTAGCAATAAAAGATCGATAAGTTCTAAGGTTATAGTTATAGGTCTAAGGTAACCTGGTATAAATAAAAATCCACAACTTTGAACCCGTCAAAAATGTCTTTAAATATAATTCATTATTTACAAATGCTAACAACATGTGGTTGTCAAATAAGTAATTTATGCAAATAGCAGTGTTGTAGGTATACTCTGTTAAGAGTGACTTGAAAAATTAATGTGATAATAATTCCAAATGTATTTGTGGTAAGTTGTTTGCTCAGGAGAAGTTTGGGATAAATCAAATGGTAGGCACCCTATGAGCCTATGTAAGAGTCATTATATACTAGCATAGCTGATATAGCATGATACTCACTTAGATATTATAATATTATGCTAAAATCCAACAGGCCAACAATCAACAAGACATTGCGTACATTTTTTTAATTGCCAGAATAGAAATTTGATCAATGGTATGATGCTGTTTTGAGTCGATCCAAATTTTTGCTTTATTGAATATGAAAATATTTGATTCGTGTAAGGAAATTTGATCTTTACTTCATAAAAATATATCTTATTAAAATAGGATCCATTAAAATTACATAAAACAGAAAATAAACCTAACCTAAATTAATTTGATAAAAACTATGGTGAGCAGTAAAAAGAAGTCATCAATGATGATTTATAAGTTCATGTTTACAAATCAATTGTCTACCAAATTAGACAATGTCACGATTGGAGCAGGTCGATCGTTTGAAAGGCGTGTAGCAAATCTAAATTCTAATAAGGATTGTACCTGCCACGGCGCACGGGCCGGTAGCCAGAGTAGTACGGCGAGTATCCGCCGCGGAAAGAGCGCCCACGACCGCGAATTCCCCTCGGCGGTCGATTCGTAGAAGACAATCCTGGTTTATTTGTACGCTTCGGCATCACCTGGAGAAATATTAACATTAGTTGAAATTGGATTCAATGAAAATGCACTCAGAAATGAATTAAATTTATTTGAATCTTATGTAAACTGAACTGAAGTCTACCCTGTAGGATATTAGTTTCATGTAATTCATTGAAAATAGCACAATACACTTGTTTCACAAAAGAATTTATTTTCACTACATAAATACAAAAAACAAATTACCTTTATCTGACGTCCTCGAAATAATGACTCATCCATTGCCATAGCTGTCTGTACACTATCTTTATCACCAAACTCAATATAAGCAAATCCTTTAGGATGTCCATCAAACTTGTTGCACAGTATTGTCACCCTGAAAAGATGGGAAAAGCCATATTGATTCTACAAAATCAGTTTACACACTGTTAAGCAAGTATGTTTATTGAACAGTATAACAATCTAAGTATTTTTGAAATTTTAATATGGCTTTTAAAAATTTAAGATTGTTTCTTAGTCACATATAATCAAAACTTCTGTCAACTTAAATCCTTGTTACTAAAGGGACCACTAGCATCAGTGTGGAAAAAATATATAAATTTTTGGTCTCTTCAATGTTTGCATACATAATCTATGGTTTTTATACTTAATATGAAATATACACAACGCTTTATTAAAAACAGTAAAATTTTATTGAAACTTATCTATTGCTTGATAGGTCTATGTGAAATCTATGAGTGTATACTTAGAATGTTCAAGTGGTCAATTATCTACTCTTGTATTCTTTAATAAGTTTACTTCTATTATTTACAAGTAATTTTTTACTACCCCAAACTTTTAGTTGAGTTTGTGCAATAGAAATGCAAGTAATGCAACCTTTATAAAATATTAAGTCTGGAGAAAACACAAATTGGTCCTAAGTAGTTTGTACTTAAATAACCAAAAAAAAATTCAGTAACTATCATATAAGATTAAATTTTTATATCGTACTAGCTGTTATCTTGTGGTTCAGTAGTTTCAAAACCTATTTGATGCCAATGAACAATTAATTCTTTCCTTTATTATATTTGAAAATATGTTAATGAAAAATTCTTAAAAAATTCACTTTGTCCATGACCATGAGCAGTTGCAATCTGGACGACTGCTCTAAACACTGAGCTACCCAGAACCTAACAGGGCTGACAAATCTTTCTAGCACTTGTTATTTTTTCACTACTACAGAACATATTCAGGCAATCCACCCAAGCCAAAAGAAATATTTTTACAAATATTCAGACTTTCAATACAGATGAAAATTTGTTCTTATTATTATATTTGATCAACATCACATTCAAAATGCTATACTGAAAAATAATCTTAGTGAAAAAAGCATAAAAATCCACTTTATCCCTCGCACTATGAGATGGAATTTGAACCATTGGCCAGGGACAAAGTGGATTTTTTAAAAGCATTTTTCATTAAGAATAATTCTTTCCTCTTTATACTATTAGTGCAGAAAATATTAATTTTGAAAGATGTAATCAAAATGCAATTATAGAGAGAATTAGCAACTATAAAGGATGTTCGTTTACAGAGCTACGTAAAATTTACCTATTTATGGAACCACAGCCATGAAAATGCTGTTCCAGTTCCTCAGCTGTTGCCCCGTAGTCAACATTTCCCACATAAACAGACCTATTATCTGCTTCTATCTTTTCTTCTATGGACATGTTCAGTGGACTAGCTAATGGGAAGATTAACACACTTTTAAATAATAGCAAACAAATACTATTTATAACAAGTAACATTAAAAGAATAGAAGAATTATTTTTATTTAAATTGTCAAATGAGGTTGTCTTCTACATACATTTATTGTTCATAAATATAAATTTTAAACAAAGTAAAACATTAAGATGAAACTGAATCATTACTCACTAAGACCCGGTGGACTACCCATATTCATTTGCTTATCAACTTCAGTCTGCATCTGTTTTAACTTCTCTGCCTCTTCTTCCATCTCACGGACTCTAGCTTTGATAGCAGCGAGATCTGGCACATCACTACCAGCTGCCTCATCTCCACCCTTCAATGTTTGACATAAAATTACCACATACTATACAAAATAAAACAGGTTTGAATTACAGTTTTTTTACAATGAATTTTACAAAAAATACCACATATTGGATTGAAATAACATTCTTATCATCAATTTGTTATTAAGTAATAGATAAGTAGGAAAACAATCATCAATTGTAGAATCATTTATCAAGCAATGACTATATTTTATAATAATATGGCATTTATTTAAAGAAAAGCAAAAATGAGCGTAAAATTAAACGAATATACTAAGAAATATAACAGATCTTACCCCGAGGCTGCTGTCCGTCATGTTTAGAGAACCGTTGGTTCCGTCTATATGATTATTATCAAGAGAATCTAAATAGTCATCATTATCAGCCATATCAACTTATCGATGTTAACATAAATTCCTCGGAGACAATAGCAAAAGGTTTATAATCCTACAACAATAAAAAAAATCTAAATGAAATAGGTTTTATTTGAGGTAGCCAGGGAGTCTTCCTTTCCTACTTACCGGTAACCAAATCCGAAAGGTATAAATTGACCTACTTTTGAAATAAGCCTCATAAACATACCAACGAAATGCACTATTTAATTTTAAACACTAAAATGATGTAAGTGTACAAACATTCTATCGATACAAACGGATTTGTTTCAGAAATAAACAGAAAAATAACGCCAAACAAAATTATTTGACAACGATGACAATTGCAGCCACAGAGCACAAAATATTAGGGATGTGTATGAAAGCGATTTTTCAGACTAGAAAAATATGAATATAATTACGGACATTTCATTTTATAAAGTCAGCAATTGATTTTTTTGTTTTTATAAAAACCATAAAATTAATTTACAAGTAAGCACGTTATTGACGATAGTTTTACCTTATACCAAATGAACCTGGTCAGTCTAACTGACTTAAATCTTCTTTTTCTTTCGTGTCAATGGCAACCAAAATTAAGTGTCACCGGCCCAGAATTCCGCCACTTTTCCGGCGCTATCTGCAGCCGTCAATGGGATCACTGACTTACAATTAGTAAGCCTTCCCGCAGAGCGCCTCCTATGCTCGGGCCCTCCCCGTGAGTAACGGCAGATGCCGTGAAACTAATTACTACACTACAATGGCAAGTCGAAACTGCCTTAAATGAAAACTAATTTTCTGTTATTAGATGTTGTTTTTTCTAAAAACCGGTTTTCATTTCTTGATCAACAGAGCTGATTGTGTTACTATTTACCGCATCGTTAAAAACCAATTTGGATTTTAAAAAGATAATTCTGTTGGTTGCGACCACAGAAATATAACGACTGTTTGTTAACTTATTGTTGTTTTTTATTTCAAGGTTTTATAAAATTATTGCAAGACTGACCAAATATAATTAATACTTGATCAGTCTTGCATTCATACAGCTACATTGAATGAAAAATGCTTAATAAAAACGCCAATATATATTTATTTTTCTTGTTCTTAATAAAACAGTTTGGTTAAATGGAAATATCTACTTACATATATGTTACGGCTAAAGGAAGGTGTGAACATAAACTTAAGATTAGCCGGCTTAATTTAGGTTTATCTTCGAGGCGGTATCAATATTAGTTTCTTCTATTTTTAGCCGGCTAAACTTAATTATAAGTGTAACTGCAGGCCCTTAGCTAAAATGTAGAAGGAAATGGAAACAAGATTTAGAGCAGATTTGATACTTATGATAGTCAATAGCAATACTCTGTTTACGGAAGATATGCAAACGCGATAAAACTAAGCGTAACGTACAATTATATATATATATATATATATATATTACATTCACACATATACAAAGAACGGAGACTGTCTGTCCCTACCAAAAAGAAGCTGGAGTACCGCAGGGATCTATTCTCGAGCCTATACTATAAACAGTATACTGCTGATTATCTACCTTCCGGCTAAAAAGAAAGAGAATAGCTACGCTGTAAACATCTGTTTAAACTTATGTATATGAGGTGACATATCGCAGGATGTGAATAACCCAAATTGACAAAAATGACAACAAATCTGATATAGCTGCTGGGCTGATTGTAGATGGATAAATAAAAAAAAAACACACGTATACGATCCTGTTGTTGTTTCATTCACATATGACAGGTTGCATTGAAAGCATATTATTTAAACGCTCTACATTACGTGTTACATTATATACGGTTATTAAAATTGCATTACATGACCGTCAATGTAAAACATTGATCTCATAAAGATGTCTATGTATCGCTGCGAACTGTGATCGCTGCATCTTGGTGATCGCGGATATTGTAAAGCGAGTCGCCCAAACATCAACCTTAAATGATTTAACTAAGAGTGAATTCAGTTTTACTCTAAAGCGTTGTTGAAAATAAATAGTTATTGTATCATTAAATCACGAGTGATCGCGGTTCAGGCAAATCACTAGTTGAATAACTGTCTGTCGCCGATTACGTCCATCGCTACTCTAGATAGATCTGTAACTGGTGATTTTCGGAAACTTGTACTTTAGTTTTGATACATTAGTCAATAATAATTACAATATATTAAACATACAAAAAATCGCCAACTCAAAAAGAAGTCACTATAAGAACTGTGTAAAGTCAGCTGTGAGAGACGTATTTCTTGTCACTCTCATATTTTAAAATGTATATAGAATCTGATATGGCAGACTGATGTTGTCAATTTAAAAAAAATATATAAATCTAATATATTTTTATACAGAACAAATTATGTTTGATGGATGTATCAAACGGTAAATTTAAGTTTCCAAGAATCATCAACTACATAAAATATGTAGGGGTTAGCAATACCTGCACGCGTAGCATGACGAACGCGACAACGTTTTGTCTACACTCAAATGTCACTTTTCCGGGTGTGCCCATACTATATCTCACTCTCGACTAGGTTTGCCAGATAGTAACTTATCAAATCCGGGACAATTCTACAAAAAAAAAATGTTGGCTCGTGGTTATAATAGAAAATATCTTAAATATATTCTTTTTCGTATTTGTATTTAAAAGGAAAAATGCCATTTATTTTCAAATGGCATTTTTCCTGCGGGTGGGCGAGTGAAGTAAAACTATTGCACGCACTCCCCTCCCGCGCCCGCGCGCCTACCGCACCCGCTCACCGGCAGCCGTGTCATTCGTTGCTAGTTTATTTTGTAAAAAAATAATAAGTTACCAGAATCCGGGACAATAAGCGCTAACTACTGGACACGGGACAAGAGGCAAGATTCCGGGACAATCCCGGATTTCCATCGGTCTGGCAAGCCTACCCTCGACCCAAGAAACTGACAAATGAGTGTAGACAAAGCGTTTCTCGAGTTTGTCATGCTACGCTACGCGTGCTGTGGGACTTCTTCATGAGACAGACTTAAACACTTAACCACAGAATAAGTAGTCTTATGCATGCGAGTTTTCGATACTCCTAAGTGAGAAACCGACCGTATCGTTACAAATACATACTTAACGATACTTTTGGTTACTCGGTTCTAAAGTAACGATGCCAAACCAAAAGTATTGGGATCGAAAGTAAAGTATCAAGAAAGTACTTGTATATACTCGTATCGTTCATATACATAGAAATCTACAAATAATATTCACACTCGTGATCCGCTAAGGGTTGCTGAATCATCGAAATAAAGTAAGTAGGTACTGTACTAATGTTTTAAACTATTCTTATTGCTAACATTTTAAGAAATAATCGAATCTTAAAGTTTGATTTGGAAATCATAATCGATAGTAATTGATTATTTTAAAAATTGATTATCGATTAATGGTAATCGACTTCGCACACCACTAGTCTGTGGCACTATCACCTATCAGTTGATTCTGTTTTTGTTTGTTTTTCTAAGATTTCTTAAAATGATCACTTTCTGTGTTTAATTTCATTTTATTCCATTCCTTATTTCATTTATTTGAACCTGTTTCTGGCATGGTGCCGTATTGAGCTTTGTGAGCCATTGTAATAACGTTTATCTTTTTACACGCGAAATGTTTGCAATGGGCCCTGAGTTCTATAATTTTATAAAAAAATTGGAAGATAACAGCGACAAACTCTTGTCTTATACACCTTGTTCCCCAGAGGAGCAACCAGCTGACTTTGAGTTTAATGTATGTTGTTTTGGAGGCCATAATAGCTATTTCTATAATTTGTACAAATATTCAAAAATAATTGTTTTGTTTCAGAATTACACTTGTTATGTCTGCAACGGTTACTATGGTCCTAGTTTCGGTGAACCAGTTTGTGTGACGTGCCATGCATTTTTATTTCCCGACTTCCCATCATATTTTCCGAGTTCATATTTCTCTAGTGAAAAGACTGATGATGGCGACTCGGGGAATGATGAACCATCTGATTTAAATTACAGTGCTGACCGTAAAATATACAGAGCATGTCAGTTACCTGCTTGCTGGTATTACAGAGTGAGTTAACCATAATTTATAATATTTAGTTCCAAATAAAACAAATATAATTAATGCTATTTTTAATGGCTGTAGTTAGACTTCCATAAATTTTCAGCACTTGTCTTTGCAAGACTGAAAATATTTAATATGTACTACCTAGTTGACTCTGCAAATATAGGTTTCTTACTTGAATATAAAATTGGTATTAAAATTTAACTTTTCAAATAACGAAACACAAACTAAAGGTAGAGATGCTCATATTTCAATATTTATTTCAAGATCCTTTGTAAGTTGCCAGACCAATCTAATGGGCCAATCATTCTCCCTGGCGCCTTCTGCTGTGTCAAGTACATCTCCTGCATCTCAAAAAATAGGATTTTGAGTAAATTTACTGATGAGATTTCTTTTCAGACCAAATACTAGAATTTTCTCTTTTTTCTTGACTTTCCATTTTATTGATTTCTTTTTTGTTTCTTTTGACCGTGTATTAAAACTACTGGCTTGTCCTTGTTTGCTTCATTTTTCTTTTTTCTTCTCATTTTTAATTACATCATCTTTGCTACTACTTACCTATTTGATTTTGCTGTGTTGTGATGTTGAACGATCGTCCATACTGTCTCTTGTTAAAATGAATATATAGTTTATTGCACAGTAAAGCATTAATATAAAAACTTATAATTAGGAACATAGATGCACAAAGCATCCTAATTGCTAAGGTAGCATTATCTACCAAGTATACTGATCATGTAAAAAAATGCTACTACTATACATAACCAATAAAACAAAAAATACTATTTCAGAGATATGAATCCAGCTTGAGGAAAACATTTCCTTGACTTGTTTAACAAAACTCCTGTGATTGTCGCCTCTGATATTTACAAGCAGTGAAGTGTCCATTAAAATTTTCATTAGTTAAATGCGACATTGCCCATATAAATTTGACATTCATTAGAGCTTAAAGACTTTATTAAACCTTAATGGACATTTGTGCAACTGACCATAAGACTGCCATGCTTCGGTCGGTTGCTCGCTTATATAGATATATAGTCGCCATCACGTACGTGAACGTCATTGTGTGGCTTAAGATGGCGTCACTAGCGTCGATTTCCGGTCAATTCATGTTGATTTTATTAAGTTGCCAACATTTACATAATTAATTATATATATACGTATCTAAATTTTAATATTTATTATACACATATTTAACAGGAAGTCATGCACATCTGCAAGTCAACTGGCAACAAATGTACGTAACACCCTCGCCAATTTTTTTGGGTTGCATGAATTAGGTACTATGTGATTTTAGAAAGTACGCCAAATAAAAAAGTCATTGTTTCAGTATTATATAGTTTGGGGTAAAAATGCATTTGACACCCGTAGGGCGTTAAAATTTAAAAAAAAAATGTTATTACTGATATTTAGATGCAATAAATTGGAAACAATAAAGGTGTAAATAATTTTATAGTTATTTTTTATTAAAATTTTTGTTCAAATTGTTACAGTGGGCAAATTATGATTAAAAAAATATTATTAATTATGTTATAATTAATAATATAATATAAATGTTCATATTCGTTGTCATCGTTGTTCGAGTTTCTACTTCCCTCATCAAATTCACATTCATATTGAATTATTCAATTCATCTTCATCATGTCCATCGTCATTTGGCTTTTTTGTAAAGATGAATAATTTGATGAGGTTGCGAATAGCTACAAATATATAAAAATAATTTATAGTGTTCGTTTACGTTGCTTGATCCACGAAATAACTAGTTAACTTGATAAATAAGAGTCCTTGTCGATCTTAATATTGATTTATTAGCGAATTAAAATTTAGATGCTCGCGACAATGCCTTGATTGCAATGTTAATGTGTAAAAGATGAGAATGAATATGTAAATGCTGACGCGGTAATATGACACACTTGCAATATAATTTGCTCGTCGAAACTGCTGAAGTAGCTCACTTTTGCACGATGGTAAATTACTTGCATCAGATTTTTCATTTTTACCCCGTTAAATTTTTAACATTGACAGTTGTATGTTTATTAATAAAAAGCTAAAGTCGTGCAGCGTCTACGTCAACTATTCATGGAACTAATACATCTGTATCAAATACATCTTGTCCTTTATCTTTAACATTGAATAATTCAAGTTTATCTAATTTAATAAACGGTAACTGAGGTCAGGACATCTATGTAAAATTTTGAACGGTTTTTGTTTCCTTTCTTAAAAATCTTGCCATTGGCGAGTCGGATTCGCGCACGAAGGGTTCTGTACGATTATGCATTAAAAAAGTATTTACTACAATTATATTGGTTATTCGTAAACTTGTAAAGCCAACTTAAATGTGATAGTTTCCCTTTTATTGTTTCCGGTGTCTGTAAGTACCCAAATGTGTGAAAATGAATGCTCGCACTAACATGGAAGCTTTAACGTCTGGGAGAAGTATTGTCTCATCGGAGTGGTCTGGCTACTTACAAAGGATCTTGAAATAGTATCACGAGAATTATACATATATAAAATGAAAGCTTGTTAGGATAACATAGTTTACCTTATTTTTAAATAATCTTTATGACGTCTGGCGTATTTGGCCCACAAAAATGGTCTGGCAAAAATAAATATCAATTTATGATAATCTTAAAAACATATTTACCTATATATATGAGTGTTTCTACTTTAACGTAGGTGGGTAAGGTTTTAATTACCTTAAGTTTGCGCTACCTGTAAAAGGGCTGAGCTTTCGAACTAGTAAGCACGCATACTGTCTGAATTATATATAGTAGATTAAAAATCCTTAAAAATTTCAGCGTTGCTAAAATGACGTAGGTCTGGGGGCCTAGGATCTTGGGACTATATAATATTAGTTTAGGACGTATTATTGTCATAATATTGAAAAAATCTCACATGTACTGAGTTACATTGTTTTGCCATACAGGTGTTGATATTTGAAGAGTTGAATACCCATTGTTTTCATACCTATAAGCTCTTCTATTATATGTCTTGCAAATTGCTAATGCGCTGAAACCTTGTCTAAATAGCTCCGACGCGACGTCATTGAAAATATCCCCAAATTGACATATATAAGAATAATCCCCAAAATATTGTTATAATAATTTATTAACTGTTAGTTACTTACAAGAATTTTCGAAAAAGGCCAATACGTATGTCAATATTGAGGTAAATGGAAAATAAAAAATATGAAACAAAAACGAAATATTTACTTCATAATGATAAATGCTTAAAAAATCCACTTTGTCCCTGGCACTGGCACAATTCTTTGGACAGTGAGATGGGATTCGAACCCATGACCTTTCGCAAGTGCCAGGGACACAAAGACGATTTTTCAAAAGATATATTTATTTTTTATGAAATTAGGTTTGCTAATTATGAAAGGTATAATAGAAGTTGCTAATTGAGTCAACCATAACAAGTAACAAAAAACTATCAATATATTTTTGTTATAGAATTCTTTGGACAGTGAGACAAGCCCTGAAGATGAAGTTAGCCGTGCCAGTGGTTTGGGTGCCAGTGGCAGTGGTAGTAGTGGGTCAGGCTTATCAGGTGCTGGGCAAGCCCCTCCCCCTCAGCCACCTAGTGTTGCATTATCCCTTCAAGCCCTTTCTACACCACGGCCACCAGATAATCTGCCTCCTGGCCTTCTTGAGCAGTTACCTTCTGAAGGCAAGATAATATTCTCAAATTTCGATTACTTTTTGTAACAATAGTATGTCAAATTTGACCTGACGCTCAATTCGGGTAATGTTACGTAATTATAGGGTCAGTAGGATTTTCAATTGCAGGTATACCTAGCTTATATCTACTTGAATGTCGATAAGAAGCTATACTCAGGTATGCTTAAAAATGCAAAAGGAAGTATTAAATTATGAAATCACAAAATATATGTTTTTTTGCAGTGCTGCTATGCATCTTCAGCTATCTGGATGATCTATCGTTGTGTGCGTGCGCATGTGTGTGCGCGCGATGGTGGCGGTTGGTTCGTGCTCGCGTGCCTCCACCACGATGGGCGACGTTCGCAGCTCGTCGGTGGCCACTGTTCCGACCGCTATACACTAGCATTGATTGGCATAAGGTAAATATAACACTAGTTTCATATGATGAACTCGAACAGTGGTTAGCGAGTTGGGTCCTGCAATACGGATGTAATGGCTGGTTTACACGTGATTAAGTAGATACGAAGGAAGTAGATTTTTAACTTAATTTTAAGTTATTACGCACATGTAAACACACAAGTAATAAGTAGTACCTAAACAATAATTTAGGTAACAACTTATGAGCTTAATTGAATTTAAAATTAGGATCTGCTTATTACTTAATTACGTGTAAACTAACCATTATATAGATGATTGATTGTAATTATTAATAGTTTGAAGATGATGATACGGCTAATTCTAAGGCTATCTTATTACGGAGATCCAAGTTTAAAACTTACAGTAACTCGATAATACGCAGGTACGATATTTTGCTAAACAATCCCACCTGGGATTTGTACATGGAACAGAAACAGCGACAGAATAGAAACCGGTTATGTTGTAGGAATTTGGATAAGTACATGGCGAATTATGATTTAAATTCACGATTGAAAAATGAAAACTACGTTCAAACTAAACCAACCCTCAGCAGCAACTAACAGTGAATGAGAACAAAGCATAGCTTATTGCATTTCCATACATAATAATTTTCTGACTCACACCTAACGACAATACCACGTGTTACAAAAATAAACAGTCTTCTGTATTTTTTTTCAAAACCTTTGATTAAGTTGAAAATTTGAGTAAAAAGGATTATTTAAAAAAATATATATAATAACTACTCTATATTACGTCACTATTTTATACTTATAACAACTCGCAGAAATACCAGTCCCTAGTGGAGTCATGTTTTTGCCGAAATTGTCTCGTGCAAATGTGCGTGCTCGCACAGCCTGCCGGCGAAGAAAACGCTTGGCGGCGAAATCGGCTGCGCAACGAGTTAAAGGTACAATATTCGATAATCGTATTGATATTTAAAAAATAAAATGAGTGTCACATGTTGTACACCATGTCAAAAAAAAAATCACGAAATCAAAGCATTAATGATTGATTCATTAATGCTTTGATTTCATTCACGTTCCACTTTTAAATTGTTAGCTCAATATTCTGTTATAAACTATACACTTTAACTAGTTTTCGTTAACGCTAAGTTTTTTGGTAGGAGGGTCGCAGGTATTGATCAAAATAGTGTTTAGTGTTAAATCGAGTAGAATCGATTCGAATCGAGTTAGTGATTAGTAGATAACCTTGAAGAAATGATAACTACTTACTTGCTTCGGTCAAATGCAACTTTGCTTACCTAGATATAACTGAATACTTCACATCTTTTTGGCCACCTTGGGCGCTTAGATAGTTACGACGCTGACTGTACCTTGACCGTTCGTGTGTTTTTGTGGAAGGTACATTCATAGCACGATCATGGTAAAGCACGGTATAATGTGACATTACATTACTTTTAAACAGATGCTTCGTAATGACCCTCCTGAAGGCATAGCGGCGACGCCTTTAGATCCCAAGTGCTGTCATTGGCAAGCGAGTGTCACGGGACCTGACGGCTCGCCGTATGAGGGCGGAATATTTTATCTCTACATTCAAGTACCTTACTCGTGAGTACTGTCTTCTAAAGTAAGTAGTAAAGTCACCTCCACACGGCAGTTATGCACAAAATTTATTGTCTTAACCATTCTTAACAAATGGTAACAATTATGTTATATCAATCAGATGCTATATATATCTAACAAGTTGAACTTGTATGACAGTGTTCAAAAGTTACAGTTGTTACAAAATGTTATTTTGCTACATAATGTTTAATAATTGCCCATATGAGACCACTTTAACAATGAGATATAACAATTTTCTCTTCCTGAAATTATATCTTGCAAAAGTACTTATTAAGAAATAATAAAAAAAAATTATCTTGCCGAATCGAATAATAATAATTATGACATCCCTACTTGTATCCCTTTTTGTTGAGAATTACTATCTATTGTATATTTATAAAATCTAGTGGTCGCCCAGTGTCGACCATAATAAATTTCAATTATAAGTTTTTACTGAAATCGAAAATTTTTTGACATTCAATCAGACCACAGTAAACATCACAAACGTATAAATAAATCCATGGTAAACATAATAAAACTTGACGCTAAATGCACAAACAAACTCTATGTCAAAAGAAACAATTTAGGGTATGTTCCGATATACACTGCGACCACTGAACAGTATGACGTCAATTTAGTATACTGGAAGCCCGTTCCTTTATAGCTAGTTATACTGGTGACTTTTTAAAACGGAACGCAGTCCAGTATACTGTTAATCCTATTTTTTGGCGCCATTTTCAAATTTGTTAATGCAAGGTGAATATAAATATAAAGATTCCCTCTTTTCAAAAGAAAATTGGAAAATTGTATAAAAAAATTATTTATCAATGAAATCCATCTTATAAATAAACGTAAGTATTTTTTTTTGTTTATATAGAAACTTATCATTTTCGGATTCTGTTTCGACTGATCACGTGATCAAAAGCACTGCGAGCACCTTACCTCGAAATCTCCAGTGCTCACAGTACAAATATGGCGGCAAGTCATGACGTCATAAATTTCCCTAGGGTACTGTAGCAGTGTACTGGCAGTCCATAACGGAACGGATTTTTCAGCAGTAAGACTACTGCGCAGTGCTCGCAGTGTATATCGGAACATACCCTTAACCAAAGAGTAGGTACATGTGCGCGTGTAGTGTAGCAAATACTTGTTTGTGTGTGTCGAATGCATAGTAGTGTGTGGGATGTTTGATTTATCGATTTAATGTTCTTTATAAGCTTTATTATTGAAAAATATTAGCCGTTTGCATTTCTCTTACATATAAACTATAAGTGTGCCAAATTTCATACTCCTCCGTCCTCGCAATTTTCGTAAAAAGCGGGAGAAAGTTTTTGCTTCACATATTAATATAATATATATATGAAATTATAATAGGTTCTATGTACAGTCGGCCAAGAAAATGGTCTACCACCCTAAGGTTGAATTTCGCGTGTTACGTCAACTAACAACAAGGTTGATTTTCCGTAGCATTAATTTTTTGACACGTCAAGTACACGTCATTATTGCTATCTTCATCATTTTGACGTAACCTTTGACAGTAATTATCTATACCTATAATAAAAATGTAACAAGGTTACATTTGTAAGATATTTTGGAAAAAAAATATATGGACGGCCTTCATAAGACTAATAGAAGCCAAAAATTTTTTTTTTTCTGTCTGTCTGTTTGTATGTTTAAATACTTTAGAGTTAGAATATCGTAAATAAAGTCTTATAGTCTACAAATATCCTACTTTAGAATGTAGATAATTTATATTTTAATACAAATAAAAAAAATCAGTAGGTAGTGAAATGCTATGCGTAAGAAGCTATGCGTGTTATAGGTCTGAATATACTGAGATAACGGATAACAGAAATGAATAGCGACGAAAAACATATTGCGCCGACCCATAGCTTAGTGCGAGACAGGGGCTAAAACTAGAAGAGATAGTGAAAATGCTAATTCTTTGGTTGTTAAAAAATATATACAATTCTTTTATAAAATTATAATTCTTAAAATCTTGTGTAGCCGCCATCTGCCTCTATAACAGCTTGGAGACGTTCCCTCATCGAGCCCACCAGTCTTGAGCAGATATCAGACCCACGTGTTTCCTCCCAAACCTCATTGCAGTGCCCTTGTAGTGCTTCTGCTGTTCGTTCATTACGGTTACACCATCTCTGAACCATAAGACCCCACATATTTTCAATAGGGTTGAGATCTGGCGATTTTGCAGGCCATGGTATCAAGTTTATTTCCGGATGTGCATCAAACCAGGCACGTGTTACCCTTGCTTTATGTAAGGGACAGTTATCCTGTAAATAATTAAATTGACGCATTTCATTTTCTGGATAAACGTTCAGGACGGATGGCAACATAGCATTTTGGAGAACATCAACATAATCTGATGCCGTTGCTCGTGGTGGCAAAAAGGTCAAGTCTCCAACACTATCAGCAGTCATCCATCCATACAAATTTACCGAGATATGACCCGATTCTCTATTTGGCACGACATGATTTTGCGTGTATCGCGTTTTATTGAATCGCCAAAGGTGTAGACGCCCGTGTTGACTGGATTTAAAAGTTTTCTCGTCACAGAAAACAGTGTTACTCCAATCAAAATCCAAATATTCTATGGCGAAATTTAATCTGGCCATTCTGTGAGCGTCAGTCATATAAATTTTCTTTGCATAACGCCTGTGATGTAAGCCCATGTAATGTAAATGGTTTCTAATGGTTCGGAGAGTCACGTCAAATATGTCGGCAAAATAACGCGTTGGTATAAAGCCAGATTCCTCATAACTCCGTCTCATGAAGATTCGCTGAGTATCTGATATTTCAGGTCTACGACCGCTACGACTCCGAGCGTTCAAATTCCCCTCCTCGCTTTCTCGTCTTATCCAAAGACGCACAGCTTGTCTCTATAATCAAAAATAAAATATGAACACAAAAAATAAAAATAAAAATTTTACACTCGGACTTGGTCTGAGATTTTACATTAAACTCACGTCAGACATAATAATACTTACCGACACATTTAATTCTCTAGAAATCTCACTAATATTCAAACCATCATTGTGTAATGCGATTATTTGTGCTCTTTCGTTAATGGATAAATTTCGGGGCATTGTAGTGTAAATTAATTAGGAAAATACCTACGGAAAATGCCGAGAAAATATTTGACATGAATTGTCAAGTGATATATTCTTTTTCAGTAAAAGAGTTTTCGTAACAAAATAGTTTCCACTTTGAAGTGACCTACTTAAATTTTAAATTTATGAAATATTGTGAAGACTATTTGTTGTTGCAAATTATTATCTAATGCATAGGCTGCAAAGGTCAAAATAACATTTGTGCTCTACGACAACACGTCAGCATTGTGCATCTCTTTTATTGTTTGTATGCAATTCTAAGATTCGCCTTTAGCGATGCTTTAAAGACACGGGAAATGTTGTCAAAACTGGTAGACCACTTTCTTGGCCGACCGTACAACACTAAACCACATGGAAATAATTGTGCACTTTCTATAAAACTTACCCGTGTTTTAGACATTAACACATCGTTACATACATGCAGATTCCAAACTAAATAGCTCAATACTTTTGTATTATGGACATCTGAAATAACGAAGGCATGTGGTACCTTGCAGTCCCGAGGCAATGTATTATTAAAATAAAATTCTCAAATATCAAATATAAAATGCTCAAAGACGCACTTGTGCTAGGTACTCTGAGATATACCTACTTATCGATTTTTTATATTTTTTGTCTCAATATAGATTTTTTTTAAGTACTTTCAAAATTTTATATAATGCTTTGTATCGATTTATTATCGAAATTAACTTCTTATGACTTGATCACGTCTATGTAACGTCCCCCCACCCGCGGCGCCAAAGCTGAATCCGCTCTTGAAGGGGTGTTAATTGAATGATTCTTATGCAGGTACCCCATGAGCCCGCCGGTGGTCCGATTCCTGACTCGTATCTTGCATCCGAACGTGTCTCGTCACGGCGACGTCGGCATCGACTCTGTACACCATAACTGGTCTCTCGCACTCACCATCAGTAAAGTCCTCATATCGATACAAAGCTTACTCACCGACCCGTATACAGCTGTAAGTATTTTTCACATGACTGCCCAAAAAAGTTATGTTTGTGTAATGTATGCTAAGTGAACGTATATATGCGAGTGTCTTTTTCACATTTTTTTTAAAATATTCAACATGACCGATATATACCGCCATTAAAAAAATATATATTGTATAAAAAAAAATAATTCATAATTATTTAGCATGACTACGAAAATCAAACAAAAAATAAAAAAATTAACTTGTATTCTGACAGCGGGGGGACCGTTCTGTGGAGATTTGATTTGATTTGACTAAGAGGTCCCCCGACTACAGTGTGAATTTTGTTTAGCTTGGTAGTCGTGTTTTTTTATTATTATTTTTTTATATACACCGACTAGATAGCTCATATTGATTTTTGAGTTCAACCATAAAAATTTACCCAAAAAAACATTTTTCGAGTTATTGTACTGTCATGAAATTTATAAGTGTATGTTTTATTCATGAGTAATTAATTAAGGGACTCATTACATTTATTCAGCTTTGTTCTGCTTCTGTTCATAGAAAATAAAGATTTTGTATGTATATACATATTCACCCGTTTAGCGTTAGCGTCCGCATCTATTCAGCTGTCGCTGCAAACAGGTATAAAATTAGGGCAAATGTGTTTTTATCGTACGTATCCTTTAGAAAAGAGTTCATCACTGTTCCGCCGCGTTTAGCGCTGTTCGGCCGCATTTAGCGCTGTTCCGCCTAGTTTAGCGCCGTTTAAACGCCGCTACAGCATAAAGCCATGCATTATTAATTAAATATTTATGATGAATATTTTATTTGGTACATACTTTTTTCATAATAATGCTGGTCAGTTATTAATTCTGATCAAAACCCGCAGAACGGGTTAATGTCTGCCAATGCAACCATGACCAAGCAACGGCTTGAAGTGCTAACCGAATCACGGTGGAGCTCGAGATATTAATTTAAGTTATTTTTTTTGTAGGTACTATTTTATTTATTTTACTTATAAATTATTATCAAAAATGTGTATTTTGTTTTCTCGTTTTGTCTGTACTGAATATTATGTTTGACTGTACTGCTTGTTTTTTTATAACAGGTATGCATGGAGCCTGAAGTCGGAGAAATGTATGTCCGCGATCGACCCAGATTCGAATCCTTAGCGCGGCGGTGGACGTGGCGATATGCGATGCACGATATCCTACCTTATTGACTTAACATTAGGATAATTCTTAAAAAATTTCACTGTTCTTGAACCGACCAAAGGTCAACTCTAATCAGGCTAAAATTAGCACGCAATTTTAGTTTGTCCTATGTCCTATAGGATAAGGTTGTTATTTATAATTTTTTTTAACAGTGAATTGCTTTTGTAAGAGAAAAGTTCTCTATTAATCTTTAACTCACAGTACATATTTTATAAATAATTAAATTCTATTAAACTAATTTGTATAAAAATGATATGCTAGATCTTATAAACCACTTAAAAGAATGTGCTTATTGAATTCTGTTTAATTATTATTAGAAATGTATACCGCGTGTTACAAAAATACCCGTTATAGCTGAAGGGTGTTGAAGTATATCATATAAACAGTACTCTGCCAAATTTTCAAAACCTTTGCATTAACTTTTAACTTTCAGTAAAAAGGCAAATTTTTAATAATTAATAAATACATCGAGTGTGCTATGTCACATCACTATTTTAGGTTAATGACCTTACCAGGAGTAATGGCACACTACCTATCTCCTATGTTTTCTAATTTTTTTTTTTCTATTCTCCTAGTACACACCCACACATACACACTAAGAATGAGAGAGAAAATATACTTAAAAACATGTCTGCGTTTGCCAGTTTACACAGTAAATACTTAACCTATTTCGATCGAAAATAAAATGAAAAGAAATTAAATAGGAATCAAATCATTGGCAAAATGGTATGGTAACCGACGCTGTTCAGCCGGTAGTCTAATTTCAGTAAAAAAAATTATAATACATATTATTATCAACGCGCACATCATTTCATAGCATCGTTTCCGACTCAGCTGTTTCTGAATTACAGATCAAACACCATTTTAAGTAGTACCTATTTATGATAGATAGGTAAAATTTATTTAAACACTGATATACGAGTCTAACTTTTAGTTCATACTTTAATGGTCCGACAAATCTGATTGATATTACGATAATAAAAAAAAATGATATGCGACATAATTCACAAACGATTTTGGCGTATTTAAAAATAAATATTTGCGAATTACTATTTGTACTTTACCTTTTCACTTCCTTATTCACTGTTTAAGCATTACTTGTGAGGTTCACTCACCTACACTTTATTAGGCACTTAATTTTATTCCACAAGAAAAAACTAAAGATCGCGGCCAACCTCTGGTTCACTGACGTTTCAGTATAATTACATCTTTTCAAAATAGTCTCAATTTATATCAATACAACACTGCATCCCATGTAACACTGATAAAAGCACTTTTCATAGAACTCGGAATTAGAGAACACGGACATTTTCGAAACGTGATCACATCGACGACGTATGAACAACTGAATAAAGAAAAAGTGATAAAAAGGGAAAGCCGCCAATTTGAGTCCTTTATTATAAGCCGCTGCATAGTGTGCGGCATGTCAAAGGCGCACAGAAAGGTACCTATAGTTCCGCAATTAAATCTGAGAAGTAGCGGGATAGGGTTGCCATCTTCTCTTATTAGATCGGAAATTTTGTCCTTAAAGCCGGACTAAGTCAAATCTCTCGCGAAGCCGTAAAACAATATTACCGTAGTAGACAGTAATATTAGTTCACGGCTTCGCGAGGGTTACTGCCTAGTTATTCAGAGGGTGCGTTAAGCAAAAATCACTAACTTTCAATTGATTTTGTAGTAAGACGTAACATACAAATAAGCGGTAATTAAAGATAAGATAACTACATCATAATTTTAACGCTTTTATCACAGCCAAAACGTGAATTCATAAAATAAGGCTTGATCGTAACATCAAAACTGCACAACCTATTTTGAAAAAGGTTTTTTTTATAAAGTAATTTCGGAGACTATACGATGCAAACAAACTAACGATTTGTATTCAAATTTCGCAAATGCCCGTGCAACACTGCGTCTTTTTGGGTATTTGACGTTTTTCGAATTTGTGTGTATTCATAGTTTATTTGATATAGCTTCGGCACAGGTATACCAAAAACCTATGAAAACTATACCGCCGGACATGTGACATTAACATTTAGCTGCACACAATCTAAAAAGTCAAACATGTCCCGCTAAAGACGGATAGATGACAACCCTAGACAGGCGGCAATGTTAAAGTTTGAGCCTAAACTTCTAGTTGCCTAGTACCGAGGTGATCAACATTTTATTGTACAAATTAAAAAAATCGTCGCAGGACATTGTTGCAACTAATTTTTTTACATACGTACGTAAGTACATAATACGTTACGTATTATGAACGTTACGTATTAGGAATTGTTAATTGACAAAGATTTTGTAAATTTTTATTGTTGTTGATAAGATAGTACATGGTTGTATTTTTAGTATTTACAAATTTAAACGTTGTTAATGTTTGGTAAAGACTAGTTTAAGTGAGAAATGTGATATACTTTCACGCTGCACCTGCAAACGAGCATGCTTGGCTCAGTCTGTAGAGAGGAAGTAGCATCGACTATCATAAGACATCGTTAAATAAATAAATTAATGTATTTCGTGGGCCGTAGTAATCTGCATACAATCGACATACCTGTTTAAAATTTTAATTCATTTTATACACCTTTTCTATTTTGAACTATTTTTCAAATAAATGACCATTTGTTTGTTAGCTGTGTCGGTCGTTTTAGGGCTTTTTCTATTTAAGGAAATAGGTAAACAGTACATAATAAAACGTCTCATTCATTTTCATTTCTTACAGCATTAAAATAGTGAATCCTATACTCTGATTCTAAAATTCAGTTGAATAGCCCACAGTAATAAAATAGATAATAAATTAAAATCCGTACCAAATGTTTACTACTACCGTATCTAGCGTCAAGTAGTCACTCGCGCGCGACATCACACAAACACGAACGATAATGTTTCGTTTCTTTCTCTCTCTCTCTTTCCCTCCCTCTCTATCTCTATCTTACGTCATTGTACACTCGGGGGAATAAGTGAATTTGTTTTAGGCTCGATTTTACCGATTATGTATTGATTTGTCTTACGTATTTAAATACCTAAACAATAAAAAATATTTTTAAGAGTTAAGCTAATGAAGTTATTTCTTAGCACCGGATACAACCCTTCCTGCGCGAGTCCAACTCTCACGTGGCCGGTTTTTTTTTTATAATTAGTTGTTAGCAGTTTGATAAAACTAGGACTTTTGACTAGTGAAATATAAAAAAACTTCAGTTATTGAGAATATTCAGTTGAGATTTTGTACTTTTCTCAATTCAGAAAGCGGCTCTTTGTCGACATTTTTTCTTGTCAGACGCTTTTAAGATACCTAAGTGTAGTGCATATCATTAACTCTAAGGTAGCAATCCATTTTACTTGAAACAATTTACATGTAGTAAGAGTAAGTGGTTGAAACCATAATCGGGAATGATCATATTCCCGATTAAGGTTCATATTCCATTTTAAGTCTGATCTTTTTATTGTAAAAATATTAGAAAAGAAATAAATTGACCATAAACACAATTGAAATATGTACACGAATATTGATCAATGTTTCAATTTATTCCCCGACTGTATCTGCGCTGACGTCATATTAGGTTTACTTTCGTAACAGAAGATTGTAGGTACGAGTACCAGGTTATCATGATTTAAAGACACGATGTGTAAAAATTCTGGTTCAAAGATGAAGCAGCTACAGATAGACAAAGTTACCTGGAAGACACTCAGTGATATACGTCGCCTACTTTCATAATATTGTAATTATTTTCATAAAAATGAAACTACCTAATTATGAAAAAAAATTGTTCGTGCAATAACGAATATTCTACTTATCTAGAGGTCGCGATATTTCTTCTTCCTCTGCTTCTCTATTTGTTTAGATTAGATGAAATTGATTTTATGAGTACATTATTGAGTGACGTGTCGTAGCATTAATTATAAAGATTATTATTTTGGATGGGCCGTCTACAGTTCGTAAAGAGATATTGTACGAGCATTTCAGGCGAAAGTATTTAATCCAGTGCAGTGACTATAGCGTACTGTTTATTGTTTGTTTCCGTGCCTGATATGTGCGTAGCACGGGCATAGTAATATGGCAAGGTATATTGGAAAGGGAGCTCTAATCTGAATAAAAACGAATTTTGGAAATAGTTTTAAAATAATGTTTTCGTGTAATATTTTGCATGTTCGAATATTTGCGTATGTACACATAACTAGATAAATTATTTCGCTGTACTGTGACGTAGGCACTAAATACCAGTAGATATAACCAGTCTGGCAAAATAATAGTCTTTGATTTAGAAGTCAATGAACTGAAACAGCTGATCATAATGTCGGTGTGCTTCGATAAATGGTATCGAAAATTTTGCTAAACTTCGATATTGTTTTTTTCAATAAATACAATGGCTACGATATAAAGGACAGCGTCCATTATCTCAGTTTTATGTATACTCAATGCCATTTTCGGGGTAACGGGTTTTTTCGTAACACGCGGTATATAAAGACTATTTATGTTGGAATAGTTGATTGTAAGAATATGGATTATGTAAGAATTATGTGTGATAAATATTGAAATACAACAAAAATAATATCTTTCATTTATTAAACTTATAAACATAGTATTGTACGTACCTATATAAGATAAGACAGTTAATTATATTAGAATGATAATTTTCTGCGAGATGGCTATCATGTACCATATATTTATCGAGGCAAATTATCTCATACAAAATTATTATTCTAATGTAAGTAACCGTGAAGGCTTAAAACAACATACAGTGAATTATGTTACCTAAAATTTAATTGATGCTATGGTTATTTTTATGGTATTGTTCATAGTTCATGATTGTATATCTTCAATTTTTGTCTCGTCTCTTGGACTTTAGACCATATTTCTTTCAGTTTCTCACAATCGCACAGTAATGGTATGCATTTTCCACTTCCTGGTGCTCTACAGTACCCTGGATAAGGTGATTCGGATAGCTGGAGCCACCGCCTTGTGTTATATGGTAAAGGTCTAATAATATTATGTTCTGGTATCAATACGATGGTTTGTAGCTTCAGACTTCCAGGTAATAAGTAATTAATGCAAATAGCAAATGTTACCCAACCCTGTAAACGTAAAATTATGTTTGAAGAAATGCCTTTTGCGAAACTTTAAAGATATTATTAAGACATGTTTCTTCAATATCACTAAATAATATAAGAAATCTGGTACGAACAACTTGATTCACCACACAAACTCACTTCAATGTTCGTCATGGCAACGAAGGCAGAATATAATAGCATTTTATCGCTCACAGAAGTGTGCCGAATGAATCTGCTCTAACTGTTTTTTATCGTTCTTCTTCAGCTTCGATGATTAGGTTACGAAGATAAGCGGAAAATCAACTATGCTTATTATTTTTGCCATTAATGCTTTATCGCAAATTCTTCATGCAAACCATAAGTTGTGTGTTACATTAACTATTATTTGAGAAAATCAACTTTACCTATGCACTTTTATACGTTTTAAATTATCTGACTTTAGGAATATCGAATGAACGGTACCGGATTTCACATATTTATACATTATTACGCGAATCTTTCTCGACGTCTCCCTCTTGAATTATCATGTTGTTATCATTCTTGATTTGCCTCTAAATCAATCACATGACTTACTTCTCGATCAACTACGTGACTTGCCCCTCGATCTGCCTGTAGATCTTCCACGTGACATACCCCATGATCTCCCTCTAGAACTTCTACTTGATAAGTCCTAGATCTTCCGCGTGAATTGCCCATTGATCTTTCTCTAGATCTTCCACGTGATTTAGTCCTAGATCTTCCGCATGACTTACCCCTTGATCTACCTCTAGATCTTCCACGTGACTTTCTTCTTAATATATCTGTAGATCTTCCAGGTGACTTACTCCTCGATCTATTTCTAGTTCTTTCACATAACTTACTTATCGACATACGTCTAGATCTATCTCTAGATCTTCCACGTGATTTGGTCCTAGATCTTCCACGTGATTTTCCCCTTGATCTACCTCTAGATCTTCCACGTGACTTTCTTCTTGATATATCTGTAAATCTTCCAGGTGACTTACTCCTCGATCTATTTCTAGTTCTTTCACATAACTTACTTATCGACATACGTCTAGATCTATCACGTGATTTGTCCCTCGATCTACTTCTAGATCTTCCACGTGATTTGTCTCTCGATCTACTTCTGGATCTTCCACGTGATTTTCCCCTTGATCTACTTCTAGATCTTCCACGTGACTTTCTTCTTGATATATCTGTAAATCTTCCAGGTGACTTACTCCTCGATCTATTTCTAGTTCTTTCACATAACTTACTTATCGACATACGTCTAGATCTATCACGTGATTTGTCCCTCGATCTACTTCTAGATCTTCCACGTGATTTGTCTCTCGATCTACTTCTGGATCTTCCACGTGATTTTCCCCTTGATCTACCTCTAGATCTTCCACGTGACTTTCTTCTTGATATATCTGTAAATCTTCCAGGTGACTTACTCCTCGATCTATTTCTAGTTCTTTCACATAACTTACTTATCGACATACGTCTAGATCTATCACGTGATTTGTCCCTCGATCTACTTCTAGATCTTCCACGTGATTTGTCTCTCGATCTACTTCTGGATCTTCCACGTGATTTACTCCTCGACTTACCTCTAGATCTTTCACGTGACTTGTCCCTCGTCCTACGTCTAGATTCTCCACGTGATTTGCTTCTTGATCGTCCTCTACATCTTTCACATGATTGGCTCCTCACCCTATCTCTAGATGTTCTGCATGATTTGCTCCTCGAACTCGATTTAGTTACCTCTTTACCTCTACAAAAAGAACAGTCCGAATTTGTTTTAACCTCATCATTTATAACAATAATTTCACAGCGATTACCATAGTAGATACCTTTTCTATCAGAATCTGTTTTATTGGCTGCTACTAAAACCATCGCCTCCATGAAGTAAGAAGTAAGAATACTTAAACTGCGCTTTGAATAATGGCCATTGTGAATCTGTGTACTACATATTTATAGTATTGTTTAATTGCATACTGATTTCAATTTATTAAGCAATAATAATTAATATTGCGTAATGTTATATTAATGTTATGTAATAATTTCAATTTGATTTTCTGAAAGTAACTAATCGCCGTATAATTTTTTATTGTCTACTAAAATATTTTCCGAAATACCTAAGTTTTATTAATGTCTTTGCACATGTTTATTTAAACAATTATTTTGGGCGCGAAGTATAAAAATATTGTGAAATAAACGAATAAAATCGAGTATATTATATCCCCGAATCATTTTGTTTAATAATATTATATAAAGAGGAAATGATTGATTGTTTGTTTGCATTGAATAGGCTCCGGAAGTCCTGGACCGATTTTAAAAATATTTTCACCTACGAGAAGCTATATCTTACGCGGATGGCTATAATAAGGCTATAAGACTATAACATCTGGTGATTAAAATAATAGTTTGGTATTTTAATACGTATAAGGAAGCATTTATCTAGTTTCAACGGCATATCCTTATCTTTTCACATATGACCAATACGACGCTGCGCTCCGTGCTGCAACATGATTCTAATTGCGACGTTCGTAACGTGCAGTCGTCTGTACTTTGGATCATAGTTTATTTTTCCGCCCGCCCTTAGAATAAACTATAACAATAATTCAGAACACGACATCGCAAAGTGCATGGATTGCTGCAGTTAATCTTTAAAAATAGACAATACTTAATCTTATTTATGGTTCCGTACCCAAAGAGTAAAAATGGAAACCATATTACTAACACTGCTCTCCGTCTATCTGTCTGATTGCATCTCGTGAACCGTTGTTATTAGATAGATGAAAATTTCAGTATTTTTTTCTTTTGCCTCTATAACAAAAAATAAATAAATATTTAAGGGTACTCCCATACAAAAAACGCGAATCTTTTGTATTTTTAATTGATAATGGTACTAAACCCTTCATGCGCGAGTCCGACTCACACTTGGTCGTTTTTTATACTTTGATATTTTGTCATAATACTCATGCTCCGCGACTTTGTTTACTAAATAATCAAGTTGTGTAGTCTGTCATCATATTTGTATATAAATGAATAACATAGCGACACCGGAATTTCTATGATACGATGTCGTACGTACGGTGGCACGTTGTGGTGTCGCGAATTTTTACGTAGCTATTGACGATATCACAAAGTCAAATCATACTGGGTTTATGAGTAAGACTCCTTAGTACAAACTAAGTATAATGGTCACTGCGTCTTACGGAGTATGCGTTAGTACCTACGCGACGGATTATCCGTCGCATTATACTTATAATATGTCATCTGATTTTCCCCAACCCGTCCATGTCCGTCCATCCGATATGCACTGACCCTATAAGCATAGATGTTAATAGTTAATTAGTAGATTACATAATAAGAATCATGAGGAAGCATAATGTAGGGGACTTGAACCTCTTTTTACTTGAATTATCATATCTTCGTATAGATTTGTCAAACATGTCTGAAAGCGGGAATAGTGGTGATTGTACACCACCAGACATTCTGGAAGCTGCGTCAAACATGACCATGAACCTGTTGCTGGTGAAATCTAGGAGCAACTATAATAAATGTTACCACGAGTTCATGGAATGGAAAATGAATAAAAATTCTACATCATTTTCTGAAAATGTGTTGTTAGCGTACTTTCAAGAGTTATCTGAAAAATATAAAGTGTCAAGTATGTGGGTTAAACAGTCCATGATTAAAAATACACTCAATATTTACAACGAAGTTGACATAACTAAATATAGCAAGCTGATTGAATTTTTGAAACGAAACTCACAAGGATATAAAGTGAAAAAATACAAGACTTTACAGCAGAGCAGATAAATAAGTTCTTAAATGAAGCCCCAGACACATTATATCTCTTCACAAAGGTATTTTTAGTTATTTATCATTTAACCATGTACATTTCTTTTGTATAATGGTGCTTGCCGACGACAAGAGTTATACAACATATAATTCAAAGATGTTGAAGTCTTCGAAACTACACTATTGATCAAACAAAGTAAAACTAAAACCAAGATAGACCACTCTTTTACCATTACTGGGAAATATTATGAACAATGCAAAAATACATAGAGCTACGACCAACTGAGTGTAACAATCTCATGTTTTGCTAAACTATATTGCCAAAAAATGCACGATGCAGAGTTAGCAATTTGGAGTTTAAGGCAAAGTTATTGCCAGCTATCTTCAACTTAACGACCCCGAATTATACACAGGACACTGCTTACGCCGAACTTCTGCGACCTTGCTAGTTGACGCTGGCAGAGATATAACGGCACTAAAACGACACGATGGTTGGAAGTCAACTACAGTTGCAGAAGGCTATTTTTTGATGATTCAATGACTAACAAATTCGCTGTTTCCAATTCAATACTTAACAGTATTGAAAATAATAGAAATGAGGTCAACATTAACATACCCTCTCCGAGTACCTCCAATAACGCTTCCTGTCCGGTTCAAATTCAGTTTCATAATTGTAATATTCAGAACATCAATAATTATTACAAGTAAAAATAAATTTGTTGTTATATTCAGCGTTTTATTTGCAATATTATTTTACGTATTATAGAGTAGATAAAGAAGTGTATGACACTGTACATAACTTGGTCTTAGGCCTCATGCCCACGAGCCGGTTTTGTGCCGGAGCTAATCCCGGCGTCAAACCGGGTCTACGGGCGGTCGTCAGTCGTGTATGAAACTCTATGAAGCTAAACACACGACGCCGGCGCTAGAGCCGGCTCCCCGTGCAACCGGGCACGGTGCTGGCCGCGTATACGCCCGGCGCACAGTGGAGTATGGCAGTCTGTGAGCGCATGCACACGAGACCGGACCTACGAGCGGCGTGTTCACAGGGCTACCAACGCGATGGTGATAAACCAAGAGTTATTAATTAATTTTTCAATTCGAAAGTACATCTCAAATTTCTTATCATCTTCCATTAGTTGCTTCTGAACGAGCGTATGAAATGCACCATAATCTTCTCTTTCTGTTAGCATAGGATGTACCCAATACCGTCTTTGCATTTTTAATCGTCTTTTTTTAGCTTTTTATACATGTACCACGCGATAACACATTTTCTTTTTTTAATACTCAACATTTTGTACGTTCATGAAATGAAACGAGCGAATGAAGGCGGCACCCCCTTGAAACCGGGTCGTGTACAAACCGTCTAGTGTGTACGGTCGGACGGTTTCTACCCGGCGTCGGCAAAAAACCGGGCCGTGTTGAAACCGGCTCGTGGGCATGAGGCCTTATAACACTCGTATGATACTATAAAATACTTTGTGATACTTTAAAACACACTCGTGTCATAAGAACCCTTATTATGCAACGGTATCATAATCTACTATAATAATTAACTTATATTTCAAAAAATTTCAGTAACCATTAAATAGATAATAATCAACAATCAAACATATTTTATACAAAATGACCGCCGTTGCGTTTAATACAGGTCCTTAGACGATTTGGCGAGTCATTAGTGGCGAAACGCATCTTTTCTAGCGAATTTCCCTTTGCTTCTCGAACAAGGGTTCGCTTCAGTGACTCCAAGTTTAGGTGAGGACTTTCAGCAGGCCTTGAGCTCTAATTCAGTCCATAAAGAATAATCCAGCCGTTGTGGTCGGGGCTGCAGGAGGGTCACTCGTCCACCGCGATGAAGGCCGGCACATTCTCCCTCAACCAAGCCTGGGTGCTTTTTGCCTTATGGGATGGCCCCGAGCAGTGGCGTAACTACAGGGTGTAAGTCGGCAAAACGCTACGGGCCCCCAGCTTGAAGGGCCTCTCGGTCAGAGGAGACTTCTTACTCCTGAAATTTATTATTACGCAATAAATGTCAGGAGTAAGTGTTAATTAATACAGTAGAGTATTAATTATTTAATACTCTACTGTACTCCTGGATTGGGCACAAATTCTTATGACCTTAGGTTCCACTATGGCGATGTATTAGAGTTACATAATGCATTTAAGAGATATAGCATAGTTATTGTGGAGGTAGGTACATAAGCGCTAACTGAGTCCTAAAGCAGCGTTGTAAAAGAAGTATTTAAGTGTCTAGTGACTCTTCAAGCGTTATAATAGAGCTACAGGCTACCTTCAGACCTTTGAGTGCCACAAAAGAAGCAAATGTATGAATATTAACTCCGTAAAGTTTATAGATCTAAGATGCACGTTACTATATAACTCTTTAAGCGGTTATAGGGTGGCAATAAGGTAAATTGTAACACCTTGAGTAACGGAATAATAGGAAATAGGAAATTTTAACGTTTAAAGACATAGTTTTTTACTTTTTTTCCTAGACTGCTTATGTATCCCATTAGGAGTTTGGTTTTATAAAAGGGTTAATAAACACATCTATAGAGCTAGTAGCGTTAAGAGCTAGTAACGTATCATACAGAGGTTTCACCACGGGTTCTAAAATGTCACTCTGATAATTCTTGGCTTTCGCCTAGCGGAGTGACACCTTCATACGAAACTCCCCCACCATACCATCACACTAGCTGGATGATGAGTGCGCGAGACATGCCGTGCAGAAACTGGGACATCCTTGCTACTTTAAGCGTACACTTTATTGTTTTGTCAGTTGAACTTTTCTTCGACAGTAAAATTTTTCTCGTCGATGAAGAGTATCTTCCTGGCATCATGTCCCTCAGCAGCAATGAACAACGTTCGCGTTGTAACTAACGAAGTCGATCGTTTAAAAAGTGAATTTTTCTAGTGCTATAGGCGCTCACTGAAACGCGCGAAATATTTGTCTGCAGAGCGAGTTTCTTCTGAGTGCGACATGGATTTCGGCGATGACGTTCTCGGATGATTATGATGTTCGCAGGCGTCCTCACAGAGCGTGGCCGACCTTTTATATTACATTACTTGTATTGTACCGCTGTATTGTGTATAGACGAAGCTACTAGCGATGAGCCCCTCACTCTCGAGACACCTCGTTTGAGGTCCTCATTTCGACAAAATGAGTGCGTACTCGTTTTTCAATTCCAAGGATCAGCTGTCAATTAAATGTCTCTTTTTAATGCGCCATCGTCCTTCTACTGCGGTGCGGATGTACAACGTGTTGAATATTTTCAAAGATTTATATTTAAAACATAATATTTGTTATAAACTATGTACCTACTCGAATGTCAATTTTCTATACTATAAGCATAATGTAAGGATTTTTTTATAAATCAAATGTAACATTTTTATTCCCCATAGAAACTTACGTTTTCCCATTGTTATTTCTTTCTAGGGTCTTAAACTACTCAGATACCAATTTTAACTGATATAGGTCCAAAAACAAAGAAGTTTCATAAAAATGTTTTCACCCTTCGTAGTGGAATTCCAAAAATCCGTTTTTAGTACGTCTCTACATAATAAGACGAATGCACCCTCCAAATTTCAAGTCTTAACGACCTGCGGTTTTGTCTATCAGTCAGTATGTCAGGACAACTCCTTTTTATATGTGAACAGATACGTTTGGAGCTTTTTAGTGAGTCGATAAATTCAATGATTTAAACGGTCAGTTGCACAAACATTCATTAAGGTTTTATGACGCCTTGAAGCTCTAATGAGTGACAAAATTGTATTGGGTAATGTTACTTTAAACTAGTGAAATGGACGTTTGTGCAACTGGCTGATAATTATGTATTTTAAGACTGGTAACAGGAAATGGTCTATCTGAGCCGTATATTGGATATTATTTGTTTTTGAGATTTGTATCTTGTGATTCAGAACTCAAATAAATGAAACTAATGACGTGGCTTTACTCAATTTATTTTATTTCACTTAAACGTTAACATTCAAATGAAGAACATTTTGATAATTATTACACAAAATTAAAGTTAGCAACATGCTTTGTTTTATTATTTACGGTGAATTGGAAATATCCATATTGTCTGGAGAATTTTTGTCTTCAACCATTTCTGAAGCTTTATTTATGGTATCTTTATCTTCTATGGCAGAGCGGGCTGGGGTTCTCTCTCGAGTTCTTCTGTCGTGAGGTGTTTTGGAATCTCTGTGAGATCGACTTTTAGAACGACGACTTCCTGATCGAGATCGTTTTCTATCCCTAGACCGAGACTTTTTCCTATCACGAGAGCGGGAGCGCTTTCTGTCTCGGGACCTTGATCTCTTCCTATCGCGTGATCGAGATCGCTTTCTGTCGCGTGACTTAGATCTTTTTCTTTCACGAGAGCGAGACTTCTTTCGATCACGAGAGCGGGATCTTTTACGAGACCTTGAACGTTTCCTTCGAGATCGCGAGCGCGACCTGCGCCTCGACCTTGATCTATCCCGTTTTCTGTCTTTGGAACGTGATCTATCCTTCTTCTTCGTTGGTGATTTTTCCTTTTCGACATCTTTATCCTTATCTTCGACTGGGGTGGACGCTTTAGATTTAGTTTCAGAACCACTATTGCCATTGGTTTCTATAGTGTCATTCTTCACCTCTTTCTCTTCCTTTTCCACTTCTTTTGGTGGAGTTTTAGATTTGTCTTTCTCACTCTTTTTATCTTTTTCAGAGGAATCTTTTTTATCTTTCTTATCGCGAGAGCGGTCTCTTTTAGAACGAGAGCTACGGTGGCGGGATTTAGACCTCGATCGTCTGGAACTGCGATGACGTGATCGGGATCTATAAAATAATTATTAAATTAATGAATGAAGATTACAAGATCACATAGATAAATAAATATACATTTCTTTAAATATTGGATCCGACAAAAACATTTAAATAAAAATAAATATCCATAAAAAAGGTTGGTCATTTTGTATGAAAATTATCAGTCGCAAGGTTCTTCAGGATTTAGGTTGAACTAGAGAGATTAACTCCAGAATCTCGACGTTAAGTCATGATTAATCTTATTTTAGGGGGAGAATCTATGTTAAGTTTTAAATGGATCTTTGATGGATATGATACCGTCAACTATAAATGATACCTTTCTGGAGTTATAAAGTATTTAGTTAATATCTGGTGACAATCGAATTGTTTTTTGGTCGTCAATATGTTCCTGTATTGCGATACGGTTAATAGTATATACTTTGTATTAAAGTTTTCGTTTTATAATAATACGGAATACATCATTCATAACTCCATACCTTGAACGGTGCCTGTGACGTGAACGTGAACGTCGTGAGCGGTGCCGGGAGCGTGACCGTGAGCGTTTCCCGCGGTGTCTAGAGCGGGAGCGACGGGAACGCGATCGCGACCTGCGGCGGGAACGCGATCTTGAACGAGTCCTACAAGAATATGGTTATCATTTATAAAGTTTTAATAAAATCTCGTCTATACTAATATTACGAGTAAAGGTTTGATTGTTTGTTTGCATTTAAAAGGCTCAGAAACTGCTGGACTGATTTTAAAAAATCTTTCACCTATAATAAGCTACATCAAACGTGGGCTATAATTTACACAAGCAACCAAACAGTTATTTACATTAATATTTTAATCTATGATTACAGTTCTCTAAACAGATTATCAGGCAGTTGCATAACCATCCATTAAAATTGTCACTAGTTTCAAGTAGCATTACCAATTCAAATTTGACATTCATTAGAACTTAAAGGCGTCATTAAACCTTAATGGACGTTTGTGCAACTGACCATTAAATTGTTAATAAACCTACATTGATTTTACAGGGGTATTGATTGAAAGTAACAGAAAAAATCATCATTGGCCAATTATACACAACTGTTTATAAAACCAACCAGCAAACCACCATTTTCATTAAAAAAACTCACAACACCTTTTATTTCTTTACTCTCAAGTCTCAACACTGCCAATGTAATTTTATACAAAATTTAGTTGCTATAAGAAGGTTTCTATAATTAAACTTTCTTTTCTATAATAAATATTATATATATAGTTCTATATATAACTGTATATGGAAGGGTAATTAGAATGGCAAAATAGGATGTGTTCAAAAAATCTTAAACAAGTGACTTTTTACTATATCAATTAAGGAATAATATTATAAGTAAGAATAATATTTTTATTCTTTAATAAAATGCACATTATGAGAAAGATTGAGAGAGTTGCCTACCCCAACTTTCAAAAACTAAACCTATATAAAATAACTATCCAGTACATCTCAGGATATCTATTCTGATAACCTTATGTCCTAGGAAAGAGTTGGCAACTCTACATGACACTTTTAAGTATTTCTATGAGGTAATAATAATAAGTCAATAAAATTATTTACCTCCTTTTATCTTTAGAGAGTAGGCCAATGACAGGATCAATAGCCGCCGATATTAAATTCTGGGCTTCCTTAACTCTACACATGGCTTCCTCTATCTCTCTTTGGGCTGCTTCATTACTTTTTGTCTGGGGTTTTGATATAGCTTGTGTAGCATGATGCACCTGGGGAATAGATAACAAAAGTAATTAAGCAGCTATAGTTATGTTACATAGAAAGATAGAATGGTTAGATCATATTAACAAATAAATTTAAATAAGGAAAAAGCCTATATAAATAAAAGTCTTCAACTGCAGGACTAATATTTCACTAATAATTTAATTAATATTTTAATAATTATTGAGAAGCTGATTGAAGAGAATGTAAAGGAATTTCCTTTACACCTCATACACAAATATCAGGCGACATAAAAATCAAATCAGTAAGGGTCAGTATTAGAGATATTGCAGATGTAGATGTGGATAAAAATCTTACAAAACATAATATTTCCCATTTATTAAAATGGGAAATATTATGTTTTAAAATAGGAAAAGTTTAAAATCTGTGATATGAGCCCTAAAAATTCTGAAATTCAAATTCATTTATTCAACACATACAGGACATAGTAGAATAAAGACAAACATACAGAAGAAAGCTTAAATAAAAATAAAAAATAGCGTCTCATGACTGTGTCAAAAAGGCATCTAGTTCAGCATTTGTCAATGATGCTGATGGTGATTTTCAAATGTAGGTAACAAAAAAAATAATATCTAAATAAATTATACATTTCTGACGCCACACCTACAAGCAGCACAAACCCAACCAACTTGCACCAATGGTAAGCCAGAATGCATTCTAATAATATTCCATTGATTATCAAAAAAAAGAATACATAAAATAAGATAAAAAAGTGACCTTGATGTACTGAATATAATATAGATATAAGATAGCACTATAAGATAATCGGTCAAATATTGACTAAATAATAGAATAGAATGGAATTTCATTATGAAAAAAAATATATAAAATAAATTTTCACCATAGCAATAATAATAAAAAATTAAAAATATAATTTAATAAATTAAAATAATTAGTAAAAAATATAACTTATGCTTGAATTTATCTTATATCAAAGCAAGCCTCTCAACAGAGTCAGGCCAATATGAAGCCAATACAAGAAGAAGCAAGGAAACATCACCTCATTCACCTGCAACACATTCTACATCCACGTCTGTGTGAGTATATCTATCCGCAACATCCCTAATTCATATTCTCATACAAACATTTCTGAAATGTGCCCTGTCCACTTATTGTATGTTTAATATATGCATTTTTAATTACAGCTACTTATTGGTCATATCTTTATTTAAGCCAAACAGTATGCCGCCTGAATATCTGTGGTAATACCACAGTACAATATGTTAATGTCATGTTCGTTGCCATGCCACATTAAGCATCATGTGCCATGCTTAATTTTTTCATATTACGCATTACTCATAGTACTTGCATGAGTAATATATAACATGTAACTCTTAATGTGTAAACACTGTTGGTGAAATGTTAAGTAAATTGATTGTTAATGCTGATCAATATTTCAAAAATCTATTTGATGTCACAAACATAAGGTTAACAATGTACACACTAGGTTTAGAACATTAAATAATACCTTAATCATTTGTCCATCCACCGTTGAACCATTCAATTGCAAAGCTTTAAGGACACTTTCTTGTTCTGTCATTTCAATCAATGCATATTTTTGCTTATCTGCATCTCTATCACAGAATCGTAAGTATTTAACTTCGCCTGCTTGGCAGAAATGATCAATTAGCTGTTGATATGATAGGGAACCAAAATCAGCCACCAATACTGTTCTTCTAATTTCCTCAATCTGACGGGAATCATATGCAGCTGGCAGAGGGGGATAGGTAGGTAATCCCACCGCAGCCATTTTTGGATCAAAAGTCTGTATCACTTGATTAGGAGGAAGGCCTTCTAGGGCATTGATAACATGTGCAGGTAGACGAGGCTCAACTGTACTCAAACCTGGCACTAATGTACCATTACTAGACATTTCCAGAGCCTTATGTTCGTCAGGAATCTCACCTGACTGCATAGGAATAACGATCAACGCTCGATCAATGAAAACCGTGTTAGTCATGTGTTGAGCAACGTTGACGGTTGTCGAATCGTAATATTTGACATAACAGATGCGTGACTGTACTGGACAGGATACATCTCTAATGGTTGGATAAAGTCTTATATCATCAATTTTACCTAAATAACCGAAAAGCGTTTGCATCTGATCCTTGGTAGCTTGCGGTGCTATGTTGGTGACTTGTATCACCCTCGTACTGCCAGAAACCATTTTAGCTGATTTACACATAAAGGATATAAATTATTTTACACAAAGTGATTTGTCGATCACATATTTCATTATTTTAACAAAACTGAGAGAAGAAATAAGTTTCGAGAAACGCACGCCGACTTTTTCCCACAGAGCAATAAAAAAAAAATTTGTTTCATTACATGCAAAGGAAATTAGTTCATACGACCAAGTGTGTAGGCGAGAGTGACTGAAAGTAGCCATCATAATTTGGTAAATTAATAACTATAGACACTTCTACAGACAAGTTAAATAAATTGTTTACAGAGCTCTCTGGGCAATGAATCACTAGTACCTAGACAGTTGCTACATTTTTTTTAATTAAGACGAAATCACTCGTTGAATTTCACTTTCATGGTTACTACTGCATACGAAATAACAGTTTATCGATACAAGATCTAGTGTCAAAAAATTAAAAATGGAATTTAGTGGAGATCAGTGATATTGATTTTTAGGAACCTATGATTGAATATGTGGGGTCCCTATTGTGGTGATGGAGACAACTGCAGGGCTATTGCGTAACTTTGTTGACAACTATTTTTGATATCCACTGACAAAGTTGACATCAAATACCTGTCAAACTTCGAATTTGTTATTGGCTAACTGGAGTGTCCATCAAAGATGACGTCACGGGACCGTTGTACACCGTAAATTATTTTGACAAGCGTTGCCGTATCGATAGTCTTAAATTGGTATTGTGTAAGCAGAGTGGCTATCAAATAGACTACAAAGTGCTAATCATTTAAGTTTTCAACAAAGCCGTGAAAGGAACGGCTATGGAGCAGTGTTTTATCAATTTCCACTATTGAGCACTATTACCCGACTGCGTTGAATAGACAGAGCTAAGATAGAAATAGTTTTAATTTAGGTTTTACTGAAATTCGTGAGATAATATTGTGTTTATTCAATGAGTTTGTTTGAATTGCGTTATGATAAAAAAACAATTCTAATTTCGGTTTTACTATGCAAAATACTGTTGTGCTCGAGAGAAGATTCTTTGTTTTGATTGCTTTAAAAAAGCTATTTCGTATTCACAGGACTTTAAAAGATAATATTATTTGATTTACGGAGTTTCATTGTTTGAAATCCGACAAGATACGAATCTATTGATGATGGTGAGGTCTTATTTAATAAAATTAGGTGAAGAAGAAAGAAAGATAAATCTATTAAGAATAGAGAGGCGTCGATGTCGCGATATAAGTGATCCTTTGCCTGAGAATGAGTTTATTGCTAATTTCCGTCTTAACAAAGATGGATATCACCGGCTTCTAATGGCTATCACACCACATTTACCAGTATCCCGTCGAAGAACAGCTGTGCGCAATGATTTCAAGGTAAGCATATACCTATTATTTTGAAAAACTTGTTTTAAAAATATCTTATCTTTGGATATAAGTTCTCTCATTTCTCTGTTTTCTTTGCAGATCTTGCAGCATTAAACTTTTATGTTAATGAATCATATCAGCGGACTGTGGGTGCCTCATTCTTGTGCAATATGTCTCAACCAACCTTCAGCAAGCGGCAATGTTTGGGAAATATTCTTGAAATATATAAAATTTCCCTATTCTCAAGAATGATAGAGAAATTATTATTATTTGTCTATACCAATCAATATACCTATATTGTTATTAGTATATATTGATTAAAATAATTAACATAATTTAGTTATTGATCATACAATTTAAAATTATCTTTTTTTAGCTATATGAAAAAGTTTGGATTTCTGGGTATATTTGTAAAATAATTGCATGGTGTATTATGGTAAACTAATTTTTAATATTAATTTATTAAGATGGAAATATATAAGCCTGTCTAAGTTTGTTTTGCCATTTCTTCTCAGACTTTGAATTAGTGGTAAATTATTCTAGTTAGGACAAAAATAATATTTTAAATCAACGTAAATTGCTCTTACTTTCATAAAATCTTAAAAATAACTAATTCTTAGAGAAACAAAGTAAAATAGAAACAAAAAAATAATAAAACTATGTACAAACCTATAAAGACTTTTATTTTTACCACCTAAGTTTCTTTACCTAAATTATTATATTGATTATGTTTTTTTTTTAATTATTTTTCACAACCACTTCTTTACAAAAGTAAAAATTACAATTAAAAGTTTAGAATAAAATTAACAAATATAATGTTCACCTAATCCTATAAACTAAATTATGAAAATACAGATTTAATAGATTTAATTAGAGAAGGCTTATAACAATTAACAGTATAGTATAAAATTAACTATTACTATACTACATCTTATTCTATGAAATAAATAAAGAAATAACGGAATTAATTAGAGAAGCTTTAAACATTCAAATTTCTTTCTAAATAATTATCTTAAAACTATAAAAAGATGAACTTGTGCCTCCATCGAAACAGCGCGACGCTCCTGTACACTAGTGAGTCGCTCCTCAATGGTAATATGGCTCTCCTCGATGACAATACACCTTTCTTACAAACTGTAATGTATAAAAATAGTGTTTTATAAAATCTACTGAGACATATCATTTCATTGGATTCCTACTTGTAATAAATAACATATTTGACAAAATAACTATAGTTAAACTATAACATACTTTTCCTTTGTGCCCTGGAACCTTTTACATTGTGTGGAACCTGAATAGCTGGAGCTGGAGCAGTAGCACCTGAAAATTTTAAATTATTTAAATAAACAAGTCAATTATTGTACTTCATCAATTTCGCATTCACTGTGCTATACTGAAAAATATTCTTAATGAAAAATGCTTAAAAAATCTATTTGGTCCCTGTTACCCTGAGATGGGATGCGAACCCATGACCTTTCGCAATCCGGGAAACCGCTCTAAGTATAAGGTAAAGTAAAAAAGCTTGTCAAGTATTAGTATGTAATAATAGCTAAACAAAACTAAGTTAAAACTATTTGAAAAATCAATACTGAGACCTTTTTTATAACCTACCTTTAATAATATGAGAACATAAGGTTGATTTTAGAGTATATTTAAATAAATCTTTTTAAGTGGATTGACCCTCTCAAGTGGATGAAACTATGCAGGGTGTTAAAATATGCTATTTTAGACTTGAAACAAAAAGTCATTCAAGGAATCAGCTATATGATATTAAGAAATATTAATTATGAACTTACTCTGCGCCATTGGTCAGGTGATTTTGTAATTCCATCAGCCAATGCATTGAGTTAGACCCCTGTTGCTTCCCAAGCTTGCTTTACAGCTTGGTTCGATAGCGAGCCACCACAGATACGGCCCAATGCAATTTCCTGATGAGATTCCGCAAATTCTAGGAGGATTTCTAACTGTCTTTAAGACAGTTTTTTGCCGGCATCTGAAATGTTAGGTAGCAAATATAGAAATGATCATTCAAGAGATATATTATTACAAAATAATAAACAATATTAAACACAAAACTAGAGGTAATATTAATTCGTATCTATAGGAAATTATTAAAGTGACAAATATTCCCCGATGGAATAGATGAGATAAATTGAGATACAAATAGTTCTATTAACAAATAGTAAACTATTTTAAATGCATGTGAATAATAATGTTAACTTCGCAAAACAGTTACAATACAAGAAAATACATAAGAACAATATATAAAAGCTTTACTTACATTTATTCCTTGACATTAAATCTTTCTGAAACACCAACTAAACACTTCTTAACTTGACGAAAGTCCAATTTAACATGAATGTAGCGCCAAATATTTCAAACATTTTTGTTTTCAAGAGTCAAACAGGTAAATAACCCGTCTAAATAATAATAACAACAATTAATATTAATTCATGTGCTTTGAACACGCAACTAAATTTCGGCGCATAATGTCGATAAAATCAAGAGTTTTATCGAATGACACTTATAAGGCACCGTAAAGCACCGTAAGTTGTTGTCCAACCACTATGATACGCAATACCAATGTTAGTGAGAAATTGGTTGCGATCAAATCGCAGTGTACAACGAATTGTCAGTTGTACACTTTAATGTCAAAGTTAGCCAATAGCCCTGTAAAGGATAATTGTCTCCCTCCGAGCTAGGTGTTGTTAGCCCGGGGACCGCGGTCCAACCGATGTAGGTTGGACGTTCTATTTATGTTAATTGGTAATTAAACTTATTCTGTGTGATGTAGGTTTCTTTGTTCTAAGTGTCTTGTAGTTATTAATTTATGCTGTTTGTATTGGTACAGCGCCATCTCGTTACTTGCTGTTGAAACTTATTGCAGTTCGTCTTGCTGTCGATGGCTGTGACGATGCTAGTCTTCTCGCTATCGATTGTTGTGGCGATGTTACTGCGATGAATTAGATGTCGCTAAGTATCAGTCGCCACAGTACTTTCCCCCTAGACCGAAGGTCGATTCCGTGTTGATAGTAGGTTGGATGGCGGGAAGGTTGCTATATTCGAAGTAGTGTGTCGATTAATCATCGTGATGAGGTAACGTTCACCTGTCGCAGTTATAGGTAGTGGTCCAACGATGTCTATGTGTATGTGTTGGAAGCGGTCGGCTGGCGTTATCGAATAAATTTCAACAGCAAGTGGACCCCAACCTCCAACCTTACGGTCCTAAAGTGGTGACCCCGACAGAACATCAGCAACCTTCAGCATCACAACGCAGCCATCACTCTTCATCAACAGCCTCTCACCCTTCATCATCAGCTTCTCATCCCTCATCAGCACAGCCACTTCAGCAGCAAGACAGCCAACACCAAGGTCCATCACAGCAGCATCGACGACGCTTCCTGGATTCTTGGTACCACACGACGGCATCATCCCGACCTGGTCCTCGCAGCCCACGACCGGACCTCAGTTCACACACAACTCACCGGCGTGGCAGCCCTGCACACCAGCAGCTTCGGTCCCGACGTCACAACCATGGCACTTGCAAGCTCTGAAGCACTGACTGCATACCACCTACTATCAACATGGATCGACCTTCGGTCTAGGGGGAAAGTACTGTGGCGACTGATACATAGCGACATCTAATTCATCGCACTAACATCGCCACAACAATCGATAGCGAGAAAACTAGCATCGTCACAGCCATCGATAGCAAGACGAACTGCAATACGTTTCAACAGCAAGTAACGAGATGGCGCTGTACCAATACAAACAGCATAAATTAATAACTACAAG